ACGCTTTTATGGCTTACCTAAAATTCCTAAACCGGGAATTCCATTGAGACCTATTGTTTCTTTTGTAAATTCTCCCACTTGTGCAATTTCTGGTTATCCTGCGAGAATTTTGTGGCCTGTTTGGTGAATACTGATTACACTGAAAATCCCAGTTGATCTTGCTGTTAGGGTTGCGAAGGAGAGGCTCAGAGAAGATGCTTCTCTGGAACAAAGAACTTCTTTGCCTGTGGAGGATATTATTCATCTGCTGTCTTTTTGCCTCAAAACCACACAACTTGCATACAACGGCATCTACTATCACAGGTTTTTCAAGTCACTTCACCGGTGGAATCCTTTTTCTGGGGACGATATGTATATGATGTTATTTCTGCGGTATCCGGAAATGAAGCGGAACGCCTCCTATCGCACTTGAATTCAGTAGAACCGTCTATTCAACTTACCCTTGAGCGTGAAAAGGATAGACATTTGCCCTTTCTTGATTTAAATGTGTACATAGGGGAACAGGGGAATTTAGAGACAATTGCCAAATTTAACCTACCCACACCGAAAAATTCCTCGCTTTCGATTCTCACCACCCTATTTTCCATAAAAAGTCTCTAAAACTTTACTCAGAAGGGGTGACTGTCTACTAACTGTCTACTGGGTATCCAAACGCATCCACGTGATGTGGTATACAGTTGTTGATTGGCGAGATCGAGTTATGAATAATTAATGAGTCTGAGAAATATTTATAAAAAATGGCAGCGAAGGTAGGGATGTACTCAGCGACTCACGAAAGCGTTACCGTGTCCATTGACAGAGGTAGGAAAGTACGGATCGCGCTAAGAGTCAATCAGATTGCAGGATTCGTTACCGTGCCCTCTGAGAAAAAAGTAAATATTAAGTTCGGTAGGGAAATAAAAGATCCATCTTGTATTGAGCTTGAGACAAAAGAAAAGGAGAGAAGTGACATCTTTTTTTAATGACCGTTAACAGTTACCATTGTTTTGAAAAACAAAGAAAAACATGTTCGTTTGTCTGCAGATATTATTGATTCTATCTCTCATGGTGCGCTAATACTATATCTCACCATTGATATCATTGTTTTGAAAAACAAAGAAAAACATGTTCGTCTGTCTGCAAATATTATTGATTCTATCTCTCATGGTGCACTAATACTATATCTCACGAATGCGTGATGTGAAGAGTGGTATTTGTACCAAAATGAAAACAACATCTCAGCCTTAAATTCTGGTTTTGGTGTGGTAAAACAACTAAATATTTATGAAGCTGAGTTTCAAAATGTCTCGAAGGAAAAAAAAAACCTGAAATAAATATAGTTTCCAACTCATTATAAAAGAATAATTTAGGGTATAGAGAGCTTTACGAGTTTCTTACATTGTTAAATGAGGCTGACATTCATGAATCAGTCAGTTATCATTTGAATTAAGCTGAGAACTGATCAGGCTCCACTGGCTTCGATCCTGACTGGCTGTGTGGCTGGTAGCTGGTCTCTTTCCGATCTTAAAATGGTCGACTTTGTTACACACCCGTTTAGTGGGAACAAGGGATCTACGATGCAAATAACTTGATCCCGTTTTCAAACCAAAGGAACGAAAACATTCAAGTAACATGCGCTTCGCATGTGATGTTAATCTAGCTCTGAGAAACAGGATAGCTTGATTCTCAAATAACTTGATGGGGATTGCCTCAGGAAAAAAACATCTCACAGTCTCTTATTGTAATCCTCCATTGATAAGATCCCTTCATCAGTTCATCAGCGGCCTAGTGAGGACTTCCTCGTGGAGATGCGAATGGGGGGGTAAAGGTTCTTGCTTGCGCAGCGAGAAGGATCGAGTGGACTATTTGGAACTAGGAAAGACTGGTGCATGGTAGATATTTCGTACTCGCCCGTTTTTGTGAGGATGAATTAAGAGATTTCGATGTTAAGGATTTGAAAACGCAGCAGAACAGAGTAGATAAATAATAGATTAAGATGTAGTTATTTGCAAATGACCTAAGAGCCTTTCTGGGAAATGACTCTAAAAAGGTTTGTGGATAAGACCGGAGATTTTCGATCTACTAGCGATTTCGTATCAATCATGACAAAAGGGAATTATGTTTCTCAGGTAGTTCTGTCATAATATTGAACCATTTTAATGACCTTGTTAGAAAAATCAAGGTCAAGAGGCATGTCTCCCATAAAAAACTACGGCAGAAGTAGAACTTCGCTGAAATCATTGATTCTAACAGTGGAAAGCTTAAGATGTAAAATGGAGGAATTTAGCCATTTTCATGCAAGATCCAAATAGTTGAAACTTTCATTGTCCCAACATTTATGTATGGCGCTGGGCTAATCAGTTTAAAGAAGCTGTGAGTAAGGAAGTCAGGACCTTCCCCGCCCTTAATTTTACAGGTACTGCGGACTTTCAACTGCTGATTGGCATTACAAAAAATGAGAATTTGCAAATATACGATGGTGTTGTTTGTATATCCCATTGTATCACTGAGGTCAAAAGGATTTTGATGAAAGAAACCCGGATTTTCAGGATGTAACCGAAATGTTAAAACAATTTGGGATATGCTTGTGTCACCCGTACAAAACCTGCTAGAATTACTACAGGTAAGAAGTTTACTTTATTGAGTTAATTCCGTTAACTCAAATGATTCTTATTCAGTAACGTTACCTGTCCCAGTTCATTACTGAAGTCGCAGTCGCAGATTAGACTGTGTGAAGTAAAGTCGGAGACAAGAAGTTCACGAATTTTCATGAATCCTCCCATGAATCTGTTGGGGTTTCTTTTTCTTGCAATCTTGGATTTGACAAGTGGAGAAGGTCAGTTTCTTGCTTTGTTTCTGTGAATGAAAAAAGTATTCATTCGCCATTCAAATTCTAGGTGTTGGTTGTCCCTTTTAAATCAGTGGTAAGGTATGTGAAGCATAAACGTTTTAGGCTAGGAATTTTTTCCAAGAAATCTGATTTTCCTTTTTTGAGAAGTCATTTGTCACGTTTGCTTAGCTTTATCTTTTGAGTTCGAGTCCTTATTTCTCATAAATTTCCCACATTTGTCAATCTGTTTAGTTCATCTATAGTGTTTATGTAAACAGAAAAAAGAGTAAAATGGAAAAAAAAGTAAAGTAGGTCACTGAGTAAGAAAAGAAAGAAAAACAAAAGCTAGCGATGTTTTAATTTTTCCAGTGCAACCGATATCATTCCTAATTAGTTTTTTTTTCAGTCTCTTTATCTCCTCTATCTGCCGAGAGAGTTTGTTGGAGAAACATTCTAATGACTTAAATAACAAGTCATAAGTCATCATAGCAATCGTTATGATGGTTTCTAGACCAATCAGTTTCGCCATGCATGTAGATTTTGATGAATTTTTCTTTTAGTGTTGGGTTTATTGCTTATATCAAAGTATACCAAGAGCAGTAATAGCTAGATTATTGTCTAGCTATGTACTGAGCTTACTTGTCAAAAAAAAAAATGCAAAAAATTAAAAACGCATTTATCATGCTACATATTTTTTAGAAAATAAAATGTAGTTTAAGTGCACGTGTCTTAATCCATAGAAATGATGTAATTTTTATTGAAGGTGAAATTGCACTACGCGAAATTTGTGGCCACGGAATAAACAACCCCTAGTCGTGTAGAAATAAATTCACTTCAATTCCTCAACGGCGTACATGACGTAGTTTGAAAGTAAAATTAAAAACAATCACAAAAGTCACACAATATACAATAGAAAGAAATAGCAAACAACAGGAAAGAAAGAGAACTATAAAACACTTTCATTGTTACGGCCACAGAAAAAACCAAGATTAACACTGCTATTGCGAAACTGCAAGGGCCAAAAAAAGAATGGAAAGGACGACCGAAAACGAGAAAATAGGCATATCACTTGCTCTACAATAAATTATGCGAAGTAGCAATAGGGCGGTAATAAGGTGGCAATGAAATGATGAAAAAGGTGCTAATGAAACAATAAGTATAAACGTTTGCTAGTTACAGGGTGAAAAGACTAAAATAATGAACTTCAAACACGCATAGAATCCAACACGAAAAAAAATGTCGCACTTAAAACTTACAGAAAGGATGTAAAATTTATTGATGCTAGATTTCTTAATGTTTTAAAAGACATCTCGCGGGCTTATTTCTTCGTTTTATCGGTCAACCATCCAGTCCATAAGGTATCACCCATACCAAGTGAAACCAGACCCTATTGTCTGACTGTTTGGTCGGTGGCTGGTGACTGGTGGCTGGTAGCTGGTACCTTGACAGCAGGTATTTCCACTGTAATTCGATGCTTCGATGTTCGGTGGATGGTTTATTGAGTCGGTCAGGTTGATCGATTGAGTGAATGATCCTTGGCTAATTATCAAAGAAAAAAGTCCCACAATACTTTTGATTTAATCCAATGGAAAGCACTTGCAAAAATTTACTAGTTACCGAGATGCGGTTTGAAATTTCATAGCGCGACCCAACCGCAAGAATATTATCTTACTGGTGCTAAAAAGGCAACTATGGATGCCTTCAATTTGTAAACAGAGCTAGTAATATGGCTTCACAAGCAAAGCCACAGTGCTTTCTTGCTCACTGCCACGGCTATCCTGAGAAATCATCATTTATGTCCGCCCTTCAGCAGTTCAAGTTTTCAGCACATTTAATAATAAGTTTGGAAACTTTTGGTTTTAACTCTTTGGAATCTAAAGCCCGAAATATTTCGTTACTTTCTAATAGAGGAGATTAAAATTAAATGTTTTGTAAGGAAAGGACTGAACGGTGTTTCTTACATTATTTGTGTACAAGAGACTACGAGGTTTTCAAGTCACGGTGTGTTTCGGTAGTCGAACCAGAGAGCGACTTTCTGTATAAACTGTGTTGCATCTAAATTAAAATTCGAGGATTAAAGTGTTTAAAATAGTCCAGTGTCGGCTGAGAGATATTTTGTTACAGTTTCTAGGGCATCGTTTCTTAAAAACAGTTGTGTTTATATTTTGTAGATGAAGGATGTGCGAAATTGATGGATGGGTATCAATCTTATGACGAGACAGTAGAATACCCTCCAATGAATTGGTTTGAGACACCGGCAGTTGTTCAACTTGAAGCAGGTAATGAATTTATCAAATATATATAAAAAAAAAATATATCTATATATATATATATATATATATATGTACACAATTAAGATATATCCACCCCAGACGATAAATAATGACTGGTTCGCATGTCTACTCATGACGAGCTTTGCGTCGGAAAAAAAATTTATGCAAATTAGCTGGCTGCACGTTGAATGTGCAGCCAGCTAATTTGCATAAGTAATTCAAGCCAAGGCTCGACGCCTCTTGGTGGCATGAGGTGTTCGCTAAACATTCCAGGATATCCGGTAATCGCTTCAAAAAATGTAATTATGCTCCCCTCGAATGAAATGGAAAAAACTGCAACTTCCGATGATTACAATTCTAATCATTTTCAAGATGCAACTCTACTTTGTTCACTCATTTTCCAGAAACAAGAGTCCAGAGAAATGTCTCAAACAAACCTAACGGGTCTAATTCGAAAAAACTTAAATGGCGGTACGTTAAGCTTATTTTCTCTGTAGAGAAAATACATGTCTTAAAGAAGACAACAGTAAATCGTTAACACAAGGTCCACGAATATTCCTGACCAAATGTTACAGAAACATAGAACAGGAACAATTTAAAACACGTAAAACGAAGAAACTCAAAAATAGCCTAAAAAGCGGCACCGGTAAAGCTGATTTCACCTCCATGATCGAAGATCTAGGCCTACGTAAGGTTAACTCCGACAAACCCTTCTTTATACAGTCATGGTTTTTAACTTTCTGGTCTCCTCCTTCGGTCTTCAAGCTTCGGCGCAATGCCTTTTATGTGCGAAGGTTTCAGTTTGGAACGGCATTTTTAGCTTTTCTGTAGACACCAGTCTTCGGAAAAGCTAAAAACTTAACAGGGGAGAAGCTGGTCTAAAACATCGTTATTGCATGTTAGGTCATTGGGAACAATTTCACACGTATGAATATCGTCTTACGCGACTGCCGAGTTAGGAGGGATAAGAAAAGGTTAAAAATAACCCTCAGGTATACGCTACCCAAGAGGGTATAGAAGAGATTAAAAATAACCCTCAGGTATACACTACTCAAGAGGGTATGCAAGAGATTAAAATAACCCTCAGGTATAAACTACCCAAGAGGGTATAGAAGATATTAAAAATTAATCCACTACCCAAGAGGGTATGCAAGAGATTACAATAACCCTCAGGTATACACTACCCAAGAGGGTATGCAAGAGATTAAAGGTAATCCTCAGGTATACACTACCCAAGAGGGCACGAAAAATTGAATTCACACCAATTTATATCAGAGACCGCTCTTTGTCTGGACTCTTTCTTTTGACTGAAAGTTGTGGCATCCACCATTAATTTATATAATTATTATCCTTTACTAATTCCCGAATGTCTTTGTCAAGCTCGGCTATTCTCGAATGACATCATTGCAATTTCCCATGATATTTCGACTGGAGGCATTTCCCGCCTAAAGTGTACGGTCGAGGGCGATTTGATTTACCGCATCAAAAGCAAGATTATGTTTTGAGACCTCGCGAATCCATCTGCTGGATTTCTCCCTGTCTAATTAGTCCGGCACAGAGACCACTTGAAGATATAACATGCATGTTGTTTGATTACCTGGCGTTGAACGAACAGCCTTTGTTGGCGCGCTTGAGATCTGCTGGCGGGACAGAACGTATTGTAGTCATCGCGGAATCGACGAAACAATTCGTTATTTGCAAAAGCTTTCGGCCTGATTTCACATTAACTTCTCGTTAGCACATACCAGGACTTTTTGGGGTCGAGATTGGATCCCGTAGCTATAGAAAGCTCAGCCGATCGATCGAAGACTTCAGTCTCCAAGATAAGATCGCGCCAAGTGATTTCAATGCCAGATTTCTTGTGTTTTCGTAATTGAAATTCGAGCATAGATGCAGTATTAATTATTAGGTGAACCTTTAATTTATAATCAACAGGTTTAAGTAACCGCACAGACACCTACCGACCGCAAACGTTGATGTAATTCTCTACACTGATGACAGAAATATAGCGCCTCCGTATAATGTATGCTGCGAATTTTTTTTCGGGGCCAAAGCTCCTCATGACCAATCAGAATTAAAATTTAGCAAAAATAAGAAAATATCAACACAAATTCTCTTGGCAAAAGACAATGCAACCCTGTCTACTAACAAAATTCGTTCGATACGTTGCCCTAACTACTTATTTTGAACTCTCTCTTCAGCGTGTTCGGGCGAAGAAGCACTTGGGCTAGAGAGCGGTCTCATTACTGATCAGCAGATTACCGCTTCATCCTCCTGGAGTAAGTCACTCGGAAAACAGAACGCCCGACTAAACCAACTAGCCGCCCGCGGTAAAAAAAGCTCCTGGTCAGCTCAAAGCAATGATCTCAATCAGTGGCTTCAAATCGATTTCGGACGAAATGTGAAAATTACGAAGCTTGCGACTCAGGGACGTAATGACTACGGCGACCAATGGGTGAAAAGTTATACTCTCGCTTACAGCGCGGAAGGCAGTAACGTTTTTCAGGCCTATCAAGAGAATGAATCAGATAAGGTGCAGTGGTTTCCTTAATGTTGCATCTTATGTAGCGAGGGCTGTGAGGAGCTTTGGAATTTTTATGTGATTTTTATTTATTTTTAATAATAGGGGTCACATTTCATAAGACATATCGCCATTTCGTGTCTGATTATCTCCATTTTAAGTTTGTGTCTGTATGAGTAACACATCCGGCTTCTCATTGATTCTCAACCATATGTAAATATAGCTGACGTTTTTCATTCGAGTCGTCAACTTTTTGAAATTCAGTGAGGTGGTTAACCAACCTTTATCAACTTTTAAATAATGCCAATCTTACTGTTTGACTTTCCCGAAGACAAAGTGCAACAGTTTGTTTAGCAATTCTAATTAGCGGTCTTTCCCCGCGCTTCTAGTCGTTCATCAGTAAGTCAGCCAATCTCACTCTTGAGGTCCTATGGCGCTGGAATCGCCGTGAAACATCATCAACGGTGCATGCATCGGTCTTCGTTGAAATTCGCTAAATTTGCCAGCGATTGTCTTTGCGGAAGTAATCTGAATTCCTTGTGAAGTCACATGAATTGTTCATTTTGTTTTCCAGGTTTTTACTGGTAATACAAATCGGAACACCGTGGTTACCCATGTCTTGTTGCAACCAATCACAGCTCGATATGTCCAAATAAAACCAAAATCATGGAATAACCATATTTCCATGAGGGCCGAGTTTTACGGCTGTATTCTCTCAGGTAAGAGACCGGTCATTATTTAAGGGGAGGGGGGAGGGAGAGGGGGTTGCAAGCAGGTGGCTTTGTCATAATCAAATTTACCTGATTTTCCCTTCCCCCTCCCTAAGGCTCTATAATCTCGTTATGATCATCTCTCGTTGGCAGTCGATTTTCTGTAATCTCTCCTTCATTATGTTGGCGACGAATGATCCCCCCAAATTACTCTGCACCCCTCCTTCCCAAGGTGATTACTGATCTTTAGTAGAGATAAGATAAATAATGAGGCATTACTTCATGGTTATGGTTACATGGTTATCATCAACAATCTTAGACATTACCTTGATCAATTTACGCATTTTTTTTATACCTTAAAACAAATCATAGACCGTTATCAAGTACTGGGTCGGAATGTCCACATGAATCACGTTCAAGAGCGTCTTTGTGACCAAAGCGAGGTAACCTTTGGACAGAACCAGAAGCGAGCCAATAGAATTGAGCTTGAAATTCTATCTGATACTGTATATGTTCAGGTAGGTATTTTTACAGTTAACTTTGGATAAGGGAAATTTGTTTTTTGTACCCATTCGTTTGTTCCCAAGAACCTTTCGCACTCATTCGATTCGTACTAAATTCAGACGATTCGTTCCCAGTTTGTTTCAATTCGTACCCGTCCAACATTCAGTGACGATCAAAACTTAGGAGATCTCAAGAAAGGATGTTGATTGTTGCGCAGGACACGTTAGTAAAGAGACAAGCGGGTTAAACACTATCAAAGTTCTTTTGCGCATGCTTGTAATCTTCTTAACGATAACCACTGAATTATAATTATTGCCCTGCGCGATGTAAGGGTATCACATAAAAACTGGACACCCCACAAATAAAACTTCTTCAACGCAGATTATATTGCTGCTGATTGCGGTATTTGACATCAGAAACCCACCATACTTTCAAGTAAAGTGGGTTCAGAAACATAACTAACATAGAAAACGAACATAAATTAATAGGGGGTAAGTTTCTAAAGAAACTGTGGTGCTGCGTCGGTGGGGGAGTTTTTTCATTCAACTAATTTATTCCTGTCTTCTCGTCACCATATTCCCACCAATGGCGTAGCTCCACTTTCTGCATATAAACCCACACACAACCCACAATTCCTCCAATCGCTCTGACGAAGGGCTAACGCTCGAAACGTCAGCTTTTTTACTCTTTACGGTGGCTAATTTACGTTTTCAACCTAGTTGTTAACACTAAATTACCTGATAAATTAATACGGTAACGAAACGACAAAACTGACTGGGTGCCATTGGTCCTAGTAGGATACAAAATGTTCCTGGGTAGGAAAAAAGTGGTAATCAATCAGTAAAACTGAACCCTTATGTTTCCGAGATCTCTACGAATTACAGTTGGCTGAAGAACATATTGTAGCAATCGAGGCCATTTAATTGACCGTTGAGATTACTTTTAATTAGTCTTGGTTTCTGACACTCAATCGACAAAGCGTTTCATTCCAGAATGTCCAATAGAACTCAAATAAAAATGAGAATAGTATTTTTACAAATTAAACTACATTGACGTGCCTCAGGGCGGTTTCGATTTGCATGTAACGAATCACTCGCCTTATTTCTCATAGGGTCACGTGGATCTGCGTGGTATTAAAAATTTGACAATATTCAGCCGAGAGGTGATCTTTACGGAAGACAGTCGATTGGACCTCAGTTCTCCCGACTTAGATCAAGATTTAAATATTCTGCCTCCTGGTTCCGATGGAGATGATGGGAAGCATGGAGTTCATGGTCCAACAGGTGAGTTAAGGGCTGCCGGAAATTCAAGGCCACAATCTTCTGTCCTTTTTTTATATGTGGCTTGTGTGGGTCAGGACCAAATGTCATTAGTGTGGGGGTCGAGAGGTACCAAATCCCCGAAGTTTACTCCCTCGAAATAGGCTAATAGGGATGTAGTGCTGGATGGGATTGCACTTTTAAGACTGGGTTGACTGTAATGGGGTTACTCTTTCAACAAAGTCATTAGAATGGGGTCGCAAATTGTCGCGATTTTGGATTATGCAACGCAATATTTTTACTATATTTATTTATTCGACTTTGACAGTCACAGTCTACGCCGAAATTATTGCTGGCTATGTATATATTGTAACAAATGGCGGAAATGGAAAACCGGGGCAAAATGGTGCGAAAGGAAGAACGGCAGCCAACAACAAGCCAAAGGTACATTATTCAATAATTGATATGCGTGATATAGGAAAACTAAGGGAAAAGTCATTATTTATCGCCTGGAGGGGACTAGGGGGAGGGGAGGGGAGGGGAGGGTGTATGATTTCGGGAACGAAGAGGGGTGATAAGGGGGGCTATAGAAAATCTACTGCAAATTAACTGCCAATCGGAGTGGGGGGAGGGGGGAGTAGGGATAAGAATAGAAAGAATCAGGTGAATGTTATCGAGACACAATCAAACCCTTACAGCCCCCCCCTCCCCCACGCAGGCGATGAATAACGACAGTTCCCCTGTTTATGATGATACGTCAGACTACGAAGCTTTCATTACAAAAAGGAACTGCTGTAAACTGAAACAAATTGTTAAATTTGAAGATCAGTATTGATAATTTAACGGATGTTTAGTCTAACGGTGGAGGTTTTGTGTCAATAAACAATAATTACTATTTCTAACTTTACTATTCAAACAGCAACCAGACAGGACAAACTCTAACTGCGTAGCAGGCATAACAAGGACTGGCTGCACTAAACACATTGCGGGGATACGAGGTATATCAGGCGGAAATGGAGGAACTGGCGGAGATGGTGGGAAATCAGGTAAAACTGAAACTTACTAGAGTAAATTAATTTTTTTTCTCTTGAGATTAACCGAACTGTCCAAAATTGTCGATAACGCTACTAGCGTTATTGACAATTTTTAGGCCGTTAAGAATAGTTCCTTTTCTGACGCCGCAACCACGCGCGGTTGGGAGAAGGTTCTCAAGAAATTCTGGTGCTGCGTCAATTTGGGGATTAACAAGATAATCTGGTGTTATCAACTGAGTTGATGATGGAAATTGGCCACCGTAAAGAATTTCTAAAGCTGACGTTTCGAACGTTCGTCTTTTTTCAGAGGGAATTATGAACAGCTAACGCTGTGGTGAAACGGTGGCCAATTTCCATTTTTAACTCAGTCGATACAAAGAGAATAATACATGACGCGCGTGGAGGTAAAGTTTCTCTTCGAGTATTAAACTCGATAGCTCACGAGTGAGCGCAGAAAACGAGTGAGATGTCGAGTTGAACATGACAAGAGAAATTCCATATCTACAAGTAATGGTGTATTATTTTGTTTATCATATAAACACAATAGCCCTTTACTGACAAGAAAAGTCAACCTTATGTTAATTAATGAAAATAAAAGGATCGATAATCCCCAAAGAAAAATCATTAATTGCGTTGGCGCTAAGGCTCAAGAGGAGAAAATGTGTCGAAACACTTCAAAAACAAACAATGGATGTAATTTTCAATACACTATATTCTCATTTATTGTCTAGGTCCTTACCGACAGAAGAAATCTTTCAAGTAAACGGCCAAAATCGGCGTGTGGCAAATCCCCCAGTTGTCGAATTTCCTTCTCAGCCGCGAGAAAGGCGATTACCAAGGCCACTGAGAATATAACTTTTGGTTTTTCTTCCCGTATTTTGGTTTTCTTCCCCTACGGATTTTTCATTCATCAATCTCACTAAGTGGCGCGAAGGGCGGGTGACGTGTCAGCAGCTGATTGGGCATGTCAAATACACAAGAAAAGAACACTATTTTTTTTCACGTGTGTCGTTAAGGCTTCTCTCAGGGCTGGAAATCCTTGTATAACACCTTAGTTTATATGATAAAACATAATTATCCGCATAAAAAATTGGTTCAGCGTACGTTTGATGAGATGTGGTGAACACACCGGAGGTTTGGAGAGCACGAAAGATGCGTAACAGTTGGCTGCTCTTCGAGCAATTGATTTCAGCCTCTTAGGTACTCTCCAATCTTCTCAAGTGCTTCATATCTAGGTGAAAAAACAGCTGATGCATGAACTTATTGTTTCACTGCATTTTCCATGCAGCAGTGAAATGTGTCTTATATGGTAATTCCCCTGCCATGCACACGCACGTTTTTTACTGTACCCCGCGCACAATGGAAACCTGAGGCACTCGCGCTAGCGCTGTTGACTTTGATTACTTGTACATGAGCTGACTGTGTTATAAACAGTAGTAATCACCATTTAAATGCATTTACTTATGTCTCTCACCTAGGTATTTTTTTTATTAAACTTAACAACAGGAAATGGTGGCGATGCAGGCCGTCAAACTCTTCATGTTTTGAATGTGAGAGGGAAAATCGAATTAACATCTTGTCGCGGGACTGGAGGGCAGCCGGCAGTAAACGGATTAGGAGGAGACGGTGAGGACTCACAAATTCTTCATTAATAAAATTTTGCACAAGGATGAAATTATCTGCCAACTTTTTTTTTCTTTTTTTTTTTCTATCACTATGATAGAATAAATATCATTGGTCGGACGAAACACCACAAATGAACCTATATCCAGATTCTCTGGAAGGCAGTGAAACACTCTGCTACCAATACTTCATCGGATCAGGAAGAAGCTTGGCTCACGATATGAGTTAATTAAGAAAGGTCAAAAACGATACGACGACGCGAAAACCGACTTAAGCAAAAACGAAAACCACGAACAAAGGCAATTACATAATAATTTGTAATCCTGGCGCCGACAAGTTGTTATTGTAATTGTCGCACAACGTATGCGACTCGGTGTCACTCTTTGTCGATAGCTCCAAATAAAACGGGCAACGCGACTATTAGACATTGCCTTCGTTTTTCTATGGCGCTATACTTAGCTTTCTCAACAATCATGTTTTAACCAGCGGAATGCAATCAAGAGAAGGTATGATCCTCAAAAATTAGCTGCAATCAGTCAGAAAAGAAGGGTGAGAAATTCAGGCTTAGACTGGACTGGAATCCGCACATCCCAAGTGCATGACGGGAGCGGGGCAAAGTTTAGAGGATTCTTTATTCCCGCAAAGGAATCTGATGAGGCTGGATTAAAAGTGGATTGATGACCAGCTGATAGATGGGCAGATCAACTTGCAGAAGCATCAACTGAGCAAGAATAGTTTGATCCATTGAAAGAAATTGTTGTTTTCAGGCGGTTTAGGAGGACGTGGTGGCCGCGGGATAAACTGTAGGAGGAGGGACATATGTTCTTACATGGTATGTCGTCATCATCGGTGTGAATCATCCGAATTAGCTGACGAGGCCCCTCGCGGAGCACCTGGAAGAAGCGGAAGCAACGGACAAGGTTTTTTAATTGCTTATTTATTTATTCTTTAATTTAATTTTAGGCGGTCTTACGCTTCCTACACGTGAGAAAAGAGTGGAACGCTGTTTCAAGTTTAAGCGTTCCCCTTCTTCCTATCCAAACTTGTGGTGTTGGCTCGAGAAAGAAAACTGAAATGAAATGTTTTCAGGTCTTGCGTTCATGTTCAATGTTCCTTCCAAACATTATAATTTGAGGGGTAATGCTAGAACACTAGCTATTAGCCGTTCTGTCTAAAGTTTACGCTTCAAATGCATATTTAACAACTTTCAATTTTGTTACGATTTTACTTTTAAGGACTCGTAGCAAAAGGCTCCGATGGTCAGGTGGAAATTTCTTATCTTCAGAAATCTAGTTTGGGTGCTGAAGAATTGAAAAAGTATCCTCTGCAGTTGATAAAGATGATGACAAGATATGGTGAAGACCTTCTCTGGGCTAACAATGTCGAAAAAAGCGACGCTGTGTTCAAGTTTGTTGTAAAATTGTCAAGTGACAAACCTGGAGCGTCCGAATTGACGAAAGGTTTGGCACTTTCGAATATATTTTCGTTTAATGTAGGTTACAGTAAATTCAGGGTCAGCGGTTTATCTGCCAATTAGGTTTCAGTCCCCTCGCACCATATGTATATATTTAAATTTTCGCGCAAAAAGAACAGCATGTTATTCAGTTTGTCGTCCTTTCATCGTTTCTTTATGGCACCCGTGTACTCCCTTTATCCAAACCGTCAAGTACGCTTTGCGTTGTTTTTTGCCGTTTTATGTTTCGCTTTGTAATCGTAGTTATTGTTGTCGGTAGTTGGTTGTAGTGTAATTTAGTTAATCGTGTTTCAGAAACCACCGGTTACGATTCAGTTGTATGGTTTGAGTAACTGTCCGGAAATTTACTGGTGCGTTCGCTACAATGTACTTAATTAAAAGAAACTACATAAAAGAAATTTGCTGATAACTCTATTTTCGAAAGATATGATCTCAGCCCGGCAATTAATACGTATATTTCACAAATCGATTCCATGTTGCCGTACGTTTGTACAGTAATATAGTACGGAAGACCTTAAAATGTGGTAGGAAAAAAAAAGTATGACTGGAGGCACAGCCTTAAAAATATTTTATCAGAAAATCTAAGGAGGTAATCTGCATAGAAGATGATATGAAATGTAAATCCCCATTGGGAGTTTGAAGCGGTACACAAGCAGTTATCAACTCCCTTGCTAAAGACTAGCCTTAATTAGTGAATACGAAGACGGTGGCCTCAAAATGCCTCACCCTGAATCTTTAATTAAAACTCAAAGAATTGTGTGTCTTGCAAGGTATTTAGATGATAATAGTAGTCCGTGGAAAGTTTTCTTGTCTCATTATCTTAAGAATGTAGGAACCAGTTTTCTGCTTCAGTGCAATTTCAATCCATCGCGCCTACCCTGTAAACTACCTTCTTTTTATAAAGAATGTCTTGAAGTTTTGTCTGACTTTAATGGCAATCGCGATATAATAGCTACAAAACAGGACGTTTTAAATGTGACTATCTGGAACAACCAGAACCTCTTGATTAACAAGAAATCAATATACAACAAGAGAATAAAAGAAGCAGGTTTTGTGAAACTTGGAGATATTCTCTCAAATGACTCAAAATTAAAAAGGTGGGACGCTTTTAGAGAGAAAAATCTCTCCTTGTCAGATTACTTACTCCTACAAGGCATTTTTTTCCGCCATTCCGCCTAACTGGAAACAGCTCCTTAACGTTGAGAGAATAATAACAACCGAATTGACAAAACTGTTTCAGACGATGTTCAAGATATAACTAGAATGACTTCAAAATCAATCTATTCCACCCTGGTCAAACGAATCCAGATTTCTCCGACTGCCCAATCTAAGTTTAATTCCGTATATAATATTTCAGGTAATATAGACTGGAAAAATATTTATCTATTGCCGGGTCGAGTCACTCTTGACACCAGAACGAGAGCCTTTCAATACAAAATCTTAAATCGTATTCTCTACACCAATAAAATCCTATATAAAATGAATTTGGTTCCTTCTCCGATGTGTACCTTTTGTGGAGATCACGAAGAAACTCTTGAGCATCTTCTAATCAGCTGTACCTACACTAAAAACTTTTGGCTTTCGGTTATTTCTTGGTTAAATACTTACAATATGAGAATTGATAAGCTTGATGAGGTAACAATCCTCTTTGGTATTTCCGATAATAACCCTGGGAATTGTTTGTTAAATCACATAATCATTCTTGGAAAATATACCATTTATTCATGTCGTTGTAAAAATATCAAGCCGTCTGTATCCTTACTGAAGGCTAAAACATCTGAAACTCGGAAATTTGAATTTTTGATTGCAAAAAAGAATAAAAAAGAATCTATTCATTATAAAAAATGGGAAAACATGTTATTGTAACTCAATAGATGAGTATCGGGTATTAACAGTTATAGACGCAGTTGTATATACAGTCGTTCTACCAAAAAAGGAATTTGATGTAGAAGTATTTGTACAAATTAGCTTTATATTATTATATAACCACAACATAAATTAAATCTAGCCGACTGTGAATGTAATGTAACGCAGTATTTCGTAATTAGTGTTAGTGAGTAGCGTAAGCGTTAGTGCAATTAACTTTGTATTTGTTTGTATTACTCTAGTATTTGTGCTTTAAGTGAAAATAAAAAAAATGTTAAAAAAAAAACAAACAAAACAAAAAACTCCCTTGCTAATCATTTGTTTGGATCATTTCTTAGTGGCAAAGAGAAGACTGGCTTTTATGAACAAAGTAGGATACGACAGATTCGGGAATAACGAGCTGTTCGCACCTATGATGAAATGGGAGGTCTTCAAGGAACAAGTCGAAGTCATCAAAGATCGTGCAGAAACGTTTGAGAACGCTTACAATGCTATCAAAGAATCGATTCAACGGCGTGATGACGTTAAGACAATACTGAAATCACTACCACAGGCTGCCAGACTTCAAGTTGTAAAGCAAAAGAACAGACTGGAAGAGGCCAGACGAGTAGCAGTGAGCGAAAAGGGAGCATATGTGTTGGTAAGTGTCCAAACCTCCATGTCGAATATATACCGATTTCTTAGCGAGAGGGCACCAACCTGTGAAACTGAGGTCTTCCCTCTTACATTCTTCTAAGATGAATAATGCTATACCGGCGATCTTCACTTGAAATACTCAGAATCAAAACACTTTCGTGAGCGAGTTTTGTCAACGTGGGCATTGCATACGGCGTCCTGTCCTTCTCTAAAACATTTATTTCAAAGGGAAACAGCTAATGAACAAGTATTCTGCTCTGACCAGATGCCTCGACTCTACACGTGGGAATATAGCTTAGAAACAAAGTGGAGCTTAGTCCCATAGCCTTTTCTAACAGTGTCAGAAAATCAAAGGCTTTACGGAAAACGCACTGGTCGGGCGGTGAGGTCTGAATTCAAGACAAAGCTGGTCAATATTGGTGAAGAAATTTTATTTTTAAAGTACTTCTCTCCACCAAAGAGCACCAGTGAAGTGTTAGCGAAGTCGGGCGGATTGTTGAAGGGTAACCTGCGATGACGTAGCATCCAGTCCATTGGGCGTGGCATTACTCCTTGTCGCTTCGTGCTAAGGGCTTCCGGATATACTCCAGCTAAAAATAAGCCAGACGGCTAAATTTCAGACTTGAACTTCCTTGGTTTACTTCAATCTTTAAGATATTAATGAATAAAGGGATTAAGTTTCAAAAGAAACTGTGGCGCTACGTCGGTGGGAGAGTATAACAGGGTAATTAAGAGTAAATAAGGTAAATTGGTCATCGTAAAGAGTTTTAAAGATAAACAATTTAACTCCAAGTTCTCTCGTCATAAAATTATATCAGTTTATCTTAACTTTGTGAAATGTTATAAATAGCAGTAAGTAAGGTCTGCTTTCGCAATACTGACAAGAGTGAACGCGAAATAAACTCATTTGTCGGTTGGAATTGAAGATAATGAATACGCAAATACGCGGGGGAACCAAGCCGGGTACATATAATTTCTTTTCAGCAACATTTTCTCTGAAGAATAACTTAAATAACGATAAGCGACTGAAATAATAATTCATCTGTTTTATTTTATTCTACGTATCCTTGCCCTAACATTACAATTTTATGTCTCCTCTTTGTTGCACCAGGCTATTGGTGAGCTGGAGGCAAGTATGAAGAACAGTCTACTGGATGCAAAAGGGATGCTCTCAGATGTGTACGAAGCAGCAAAGTTTAACAGCGACGACTTATTTGTCATTCTTGAAGGAATAACAGGATTCTTTAGTGGTGTACTAGGAAAAGATCCTTTCGCCGCCCTTGGATCAGCCCTAGGAGTGGTCGGACATTTTGTTGGCCAATGTGACCTTGGTGAACTTCAGAATAATTTGGATAAAGTAGAAAAATGGCTGAAATTTGGACAGGACTATGCTGCCCTGAAAGACTCAAGTGAATTGGATTTTGACCAAATGGATGTGGAAGCTGTACCTGAAGTAATGCAGGTAAACATTGAAATGCTGCATCTTCGATATCTATGTTTGTGTTTCTTAATAGCTTGTTGTTTTGTTGTCTGTTTGTTTATCTACTGATTTATTTTACTCTTTTGTCTTTTTTGTTTTCTGTGTGTTTCTCTGCCTCTCTGTCTGTGTGTTTGTCTGTACGCCTCTTTCTTCGACCCTAACTTTATTGCTGTTTCCCAAGTTATATCCAGCTCATGACGATTTCTTTATCTTCTTATAAAAAGGCTAATCTGGAAATGAACAAAGAGGGACTTGCAGCGGACCTTGTTTGCCTGCTGGATGAGAAGTCAAAACCCCGAAACTCGGCAAAGTTTCAAGAACAGATCGAACGATTTTTTATCGCCGGTGCAGCAAGAATCGATCTCATAGCAAAGGTCATCGACTTGGATAACGAAATCGGTGGACATAACTTTGACATTCCGAACTTAGAAGAGACAGCAAATGAAATCGAAAGCCTTGGTAACTCTGGTGGTAAGGATCTTTGTGATTATACATCGCATCAATGCTACCTCTTTTTATAACAATAATATTTGCGCTTACGATCGCACGCGCGGTCGTGCAAATGCAGGATGACGTGTGGCTATACATTCTCGCCAAAATTTCCCATCAAGTTTAGCTTGAAGGCCACGTCGCTTCACGCTTTCCCTGTTGATGATCCTCTCTCCATAAATAAGCAGGAAAACGAATATTAAGCGTGACAGGTCACGCAAAGCAAGGGTCTAATAATAATATATTTCCTTTTTCAGATTCTCCCATCGCTGAGAGTACACAGCAGATGTTTCTGGATGATTTACTTACGTCCTATCAGCAGATAGAAACAGGATTTGCCCAACAACTGTACCAGTTGTACAAAGGTTTCGAGTTTCGCTCTCTATGGATTGTTCAGGAAAAATTAGCAGAATTCGAACGGCAAGCGGTGTCAGCCGCCCAGGGAACAGGGAATCTCCAAGGGGTTTTAGAGCTTACAAAAGCACTTCAAGGAATCGATGATATCGAAAATAGGGGACAGCGATGCTTCACAAGATTTCGCCACACAATCACCACGCACAAATGGACATTTGACAGTAACAGAGCTAAAGACAACGTGGTATGTGATGTATTCCTTTTGTCTTTGTTACAGTGAGCTATTATATAAAACAGATGTTGTTTTTTGCAGTTGTTAATGTTGCTGTTGATGTTTTTTGTACTGTTTCCTTGTTTTCCCTTTTGTTTTTTGCTATTTTTCGTTCGGTCGTTCTTTCAGTAACTGCCTTTTCAATTTTTCATTTTGTCTTTCTGAGCAAACTTTGGCATTTCCACGTGTGGCTTGTTACCTTGTTACGATTGTGACTGTGGGAAAATCAATTATTAAAGCAACCTCTGCATTAAATTTCATCTTTATTGCTATAAAATTGTTGACTTAAAGTTTCTTCTTCATTTCCTGCAGATGTTCGACGAACTTCATGAAGGCACTACAAGGTTTTCATTGAAAATTTCAGACAGCTGCGATCGCTGTTATAACGTGCGCCTTTTGAAGGTAATAACTAGGTTCAGATAAATTATGCTAATTCATCTTTGGCCATAATTTTATAATAAGGGCATCGAGCATGAAGCCGGCATAATGAGTAAGATTCTCCAGAACATGAAACCCTTTTTTTCAGTTTCTATTACTTTTCTGTAATTTTTACGGCTAGGTTACTCCATTGAAAGCCTGGTTAGAACCTCATGTACTCGATATTCCAAGGTTCTAAGGCTTTACTAACACCGCGAGATTATATACAGTTTATAATCCCTTCAGTAACACACTGACTCTCGAACGCTCTTAAATTTAGTAACTACATGCACCAAAATGAAAACACATATGCATAATTTTTGGCATAATGTTCTGCTTTCAGGGATGACTTTCAAAAGCTTAATGTTCGAATTGTCGACCATAAGAGCAAGCTGTTCATATGGTATTTCAGAGTTGTTATTCTTGTAACAACTCTGTTATACTCCATTCACACCAGAAAAATATAGTTAGTTGAGCCGTGTTTAACCTTGTTTATAACTGAATGAAGATCAGAGACAGAAACCTGAAAACCCGGATTTTCCATGGGGTTTATTTAGTCAGTAACATGCATTTTCAATGCACTTAATTGGAAGTCGGCAAACATCGGTCTAAGTAGCTCCTACGGGAAAAATAATGTCAAATAATGATTTAACAAAACAACTTTAGAACATGTTCAAGCTTTTGTGCCAGTGGGGAATTTGACTGTCAATAGAGATAATTTTTCTAACTGTCCATGAGAATTAAGTTCTGTTCGCCCTAATCTGTATGATTTTTTGTTTTGTTTTGTTCTCCATTTTCGCCGTTTCTTTTTCAGATGTATGTTGAGCTAGAAGGTGAAGAATCTCAAAGCGGTGATTACCCATCGAGGGTTTTTCTTAAATTAAGACATCTCAGTGGCTCTTACTTTAGAGATGGAAACGGGAATGTCAGGGAATTCCGGCAGCCTTTAGGATCATGGCGGACGTTAGAATTCGACCGATTTGCAATCACTAATACCGAAGGATGCAAGAGAGAAAAAGCGAAAGGAAACAGTAAGTAATGATTTAAAAGGCTAACCTTATATAGTATTTCGCGAAAGCCCTTCTTCCATGCGTCACGCAACGCTATCATCAAAGCGTGACATTCTACAGAACGGAGATTAGACTCTGACCAAACCAATTCGTTCTTCAACGCATACTTTTTCCTGCGTTTTTTCTTCCTATAATCAACTAACACCCGGAAACGCTGATAAAAACGGAGCGTGGAGCGTTTTGAAAAAACGCCTCTTTCATAACCTGGATAAGACTGTACATAATGGACATCCAGTTTCACTGAAATCACTTGTAAAATATTTTTCTTGCAAATTTTCAGAGGATTCTCTCTTCTGTATGAGCAAGGACGATTACCGCTTTCAACCGATGTGCTGCCATTATCTCAGCGGTTCACCGTGTGATGACACACTTCTCGGAGCAGAAGAATGCCGGAGTCCATTTGGAACCTACGAAATGACCATACCGATTGACAGCGAAACTTCCTGTACAGCCAGTGGCTCGCGCATAACAGACGCAAACTGCAAGGACTTTGATGTAAGTCTGAGTTATTAGATTTGATTAAGAAGTTTTTGGGCATCTGAAAATAAAGACAATCCCCAAGTGCTCTAGGCTAACAATTTTCCACAAGCGTTAATTCACCATTGCAGAGAAAAACTAATATTTTAACGTCAAAGTTCGCGTTTTACTTGTCTAAATTATAGTACTTTTTAGCGGTTTAGAAAGGTTCTTCCTTCATATGCATTTTGCCTTTTTTTATTCCTAACTTTATTCCTCTCCAGATTTTTCCGATTCGTTTTTTTAAAGCAATTACATCTGACTAAAATCAAGAGAATATTTGATCTGATGCCTAAGGAGGAAATTGAAGCAAACAATGGCATCGTAAAACTTGGTAGATGCCATGCAATTAGGAAAATAATCCTTTTCTTTTTACCTTTATTCTTTATCCTCCATTTTCAAAGAAACAATTGTTAATTATTGCCTGAATGAGATTAGAGTACTGGCTACTTGTTGCAGCCATAAGGGTCATAAATTAAAACTGTGTACCAAATCATGTTAGAATCGAATGTGATCGCGCATGCAGTTAAAACGTTAAAAAAATAAAGTGAACGGAAAGATTACTGACGGCTACAATACGTGAGAGTTCTAATTAATCTAATTGTTTCCTCTTTTGTACATCAGCGTTCAGTGTTCACAAAAATGAATGTATGGATTCAGTATCTGTACTGGACTGGTGAGTACCCAACAGGTCCAGACGACCTAAGATGCAGCAATTTTCAGGACCCAGACTCCGAGGCTGAGCATGTTCCCGTAACCATTAACCATGAAGCATCAGGTGATATCAAATCATAGAGAAAATTTTAAAGAAAAAAAAGACACAATAAACGCAGTGGAAGACTGCAATCACTGTGATTTATGGAAAATTGTAAACGGCACTCACTAGTTTAAGGCAAGGGGACGAGAAAAAGAATAAAATAATGGCAAAACATTTTCCTTTGTTTGAAACTTATTGCACATATGCAGGGAGGAAGGTATTAGTGGTTGAACAGGGCTAATGGTTTGGGTGCTGCATGTGCTCTAGTTACAAAAGGGTTCGGTTCATGGGTTCATTCGGTCAGCGGACATTCCCAATAATGCATGAGGCACTGACTAAAAACCCGGCCAATTCCATGATGACCATAACAGTTGCAGTAGTAGAAAAACTGATTATTCTTAGATGGGTCTGTTGCGGCCGAGAGCAGACAAAGATGAGCATAGTCTGTTGTGCATGAGACACCGACTATCTTCTTACCGTGGAATGAAAAGCAAAGTTGGACTGTAAGACTCATTAAAGAGGAAATACATATTCGACTGGTCATGTTTATTTTCATCACATTTCTTATGCTTTTCATTCATTCGTTTATTTTTTTTTCGCTTTGTGGAGAATTTTTTTGCTAATGAGAGAAATAAATTGAAATGAGGAAGCTCGACCTAAGTTTTCTCTCAGCAACGGACTTGTGGAGTGGCATATTGCGTCAGATGTCTTTAAGGACTCAGGTATTCATCTGCGTTAAAGTAAGGCAAACAAGTTGGACAACCAGCCCTAAACAATTTGTCATTAACGATAGTTTTGAATCTCTTCTTTTAAATTTACTTACAATTGGTTCACCCAGGGTAACATTAATTGGAATTGGTAAATTTTTGCTGGTGATTGGAGCTTGGCTTCCAGTCAACTTCTTAGTGTTGTGTTCACACTGGCAGTATTACTATTACTATTAGTCACACTATTACCCCCTGGATACCTTATGTTCCATTGAATCCTCGAGGTCCGGTTGGTCCGACAGGTCCTTGAGATCCATTGAAACCGTGTTGTCCGACAGGGCCTTGGAGCTTACTCACGTTCTCTAGCTGAAAGATACACAGATGTCTCCATTAAAAGTACTTTTTTTACATACATACATTGTTCTGTTAGTATCAGTTCAGTGAGCATTTTGTTATACACTTAAATTCAACTTTTTACTTTCAGAAGAACTGTTGAAACAAGTTTTTAAAAAATATCGTTTATTTTCTTAAAGTACCTGTTTGGAATTATTCTTGCTCATTTCCTCCACACTCTGGTGTAAGCTGGCAATTGAAGAGTTCAAACTTGATTTCAGTGACGACACATTCTCTTTGAACTAGAGATTAGAGAAATATTTACAAATCATTAGTGATTTTTACCATTTAATCCATGCATATGATATCGCAATCCAGAGAATTGTACATACCTGTAAGTTAACAACACCTGTATTGGATTTTGAAACAATCACAAACTCCTTGGTGAAGCTTGTCCAAGCAGAACGAATTAACAAGTGAATCGATGGTTGCCTCATAAGAAACCTACCTCACTCCTTGAGTTTGCAAGCGTCTTGTTAAGCTTTTCAACGTTGTCTAATGGCGTTTCCAGGATTGATGACAACAGGGTCGTCGTAATGGCCAGACCGTCGATATAAAGAATAACACCATATTATAAGAATACTATCATGTCCACATATTAATAAGTGAGACCTTGCAGATGAAGAAAGGAGAAAGCATTCAATCTGAAATGTAACTCCGTCTCCTGACCTTTTCCATAAGAGATGAATTAACGGAAGCCAAAGATTTCTGCAACTTGAAGTCTGTAGCGCCCCTTTCGTCTGAATTAGAGGGATATAGAGGACCATTGCTATCTTTTTAAGAAAATTCTTCAAAAACGAATGGACGCTGAGAGCTTCTTTCGCTCAACCTGCTCTTGGAAAAGCTGAGTATCACTGTCCATGGAATCATAAGACAGAACAATTTGAAGGACGTATGTTTGCTAGGCCACAAGGGGAACTGAAGTAAAAGATACTGCCATTCTGTTCCTGGCATCGATAGGTTTAATTCATTGCCTCGCCAAAATTTAGACCCCTTGGAATTCATTTACCAACAAATTGCTTAGAGTAAGCAATTTACAAACTTAAAAGCAGCAGTTTAATTGGGAAACTCTCAATTACAACATAAGATGCTCTTTGACGGTTTTGCTCGTGTTTCTATTCTTGAAGGATCTTAACACATTGAGAAACCATCAAACAACTCAAAAATCAAAGTTTGAGTTCATCTGTTTGCAACGTGTTTGCAAGGGTCGTCACCAGTCTCGTGGTTGAGAAAGGTGAATAAAGGCAAGAACACGATGAAGATCGATTGAAACAAATATGATAACAGGCAAGGGTACCTTTAGCGACATACTTATAAACTTTTCTTCAAGTTTTGGCAATAATAGACGAATTTCCATCAGCTCTTTGTTTTTTTCTTCCTGTACATGGAAAAAATATTATTTAAGAAAATTACGTGTTTTCTTGAAAACTAGCGATTTCAATGCCAGCAAAGGAGCACTTTTTAAGAGCTATTATGAAAAAAGGGGTATAATCTATCCTCAGTTTATTGATACTGAGATAGATCAATCTTGGGAACGGAACCTGTATATGTACATCTCCAGTCAGTCTGACTTTCTCTCAATGCCTTACATTGTCCCTTGTGCTCTGGATGCCAACAAGTACTTTCACCGCATTTCCGATGTTTCCGAGAGTGTTCTGATGATTAGAACATTCCAATAATTGTTTTAATTTTTCCATATCGGGGCCCAAATGAACGGACCAAAAAAAACTTAACTTGTACTCGAGGATTTCGCTGGAGAGCTGGTAGTAGTTCAAATGACTGGATACGTCGTCTCGGCATTCCAGGAGAGAAATCAGGGCTGAAACACCCAAAACAACACATTAAAACATTTAACACTTTAAAATCTTTGCTTTCCATGAATCAAGTAAACATTATTAAAGATAATATTCTCAGTAAAATGTAAAGTTCTACAGCCCATTTTAATAACCCTCGATTCTAACTCGTTACATGAACTAATTTTGGTTCCGCCTTACAGGTCATATGACAAGGAAAAATTTGCGCGATCACGTCACGCAACACATCAAGCTGGGTCTGTCCAGTTGATTTTGACGGTCACAAGGAAATGTCGAGTTTGTCGGTCAAAACCGTTGTGGTCCATAACACCGTAAAATCATGAAAACAAATTTGCAAAAAGGAAGGCTAGTTTATCGCGTTCCGTGTGCAAAATCTCGGGAGAAACTGCAAGAATTCTTTCAGAGTGTATGCGTGTTGTTTTGGTAACACTGTAACGTATTTCAACTTGTTTGTGTGTCCTTTTAAGCAACGCGATATGTCACTAATGACTAGAGTGCCAAACTCTATTCTTCAAATTTGATCGTATTTACACTGTGCGTAGTTCATGACCAGATATTTCAGCGAAAATTATCGAGAAGGTGCCTTCCGATACGTTTATTTACTTTGTAAGTTACGCAAGCGCGCAAGCATTCCGACCGATCACGTTTACGCAACGTTTAGGACAACTCAGCATCTATTCTCCATTCAGTTGTTATGAAAACCTGAAATCCTCATCATAGAGGATAACAAACGAAGTTTGAACGGTTAAAAGGAGATTTTGGTCGAGTTTCAGAATTATGCAAATGATCTTTGACACGAGCGCAATTGAGCAAACACATGTGTTCGCGTTGTTTTTTAGATGTTGGTGCATGAACGCTACAGATATACCCGCGGGTTTGAGGCAATAGGTGACCTCATTGGTGTATAAACTATACACTGATATGCTTTTTTAGCCCGATTAACGCCTGCATTTTGAGAATTCTTTCTTTCTTGCCGCCCGATGAAGGTCATCTCGAAATATAGGCGTGAAACAAAAATTGAAAAATTCTAACTCAATACAGTCATCGTCATGATAAAGGCCGCAGCTCCTCGTGTCTTTAAAAACATCTATTCGTCATCTGGTACAATATTTTCCCAGTATATTCCTCCAGGCTTCGATTCGTTGGTGAGAAACTGATTCTTGATGAGGTGTGAGCGCCTTGCAGGCAGCACGCATGTTAATCAGCTCCATCAAATTTGTCCTTTTCTTAGTCATTTCTTGTCAAATATGCCACCAACATTTATCATAAAATTATTTTATGCCTGTTGAAGTCTACTATTGCGAGAAGATGGTTATAACGTATACAAGAGCAGCGTTGAATGCCTTTTCCCGGTACACTGTGGCAAAACCACTCAACCAAGACCTATGGGGCAAGTTAACAAAGTTACACATATCGCGTTTTCCGCCAACGCGCCGGGGCAAACGAGCATGACAACGGAAACAAAGACCCATTCCGGTCATTATCAGCGGAAGCAAAATGAATATCGACTTTCCTAGCTTTGCGCTTTCTCCTATGGTTTCGAACTCCATCAAATCCGAAGAATATCATTTGCATAAACCAACCAAGAACCAATTAAATATTCAAGTTCGCACCTCCACCGTTTGCAAGACCAACAATATCCAAGTTGAATGTTCACAAAAACCTGGAACCGGGTCAACCCAAAGTGAAACTCCTAGTAAGGTTCCAAACCTTCTGGTCGCAAACGTTATGTCTCTTGTCCCCAAAGTTGATGAAGTACGGGAGTTTATTTTCCGCAGAAATATCACTATCGCGTTCATCATGGTATCCTGGTTAAAGGAGACCGTGTCCGATGGAGTCGTCGACATTCCGGATTTCGCTGTGCTGCATCAAGATAGGAAAAGAGACTCGCACGGAGGTGTGTGCGCATACATCAAAGAGGGCTACTGCTGATATAAACATCTTAAAGAACTAAACTGCTGTGACGAGCATGAGAGTTTATGGCTTCATTTAAGACCCACTCGTCTCCCTCGGGGGTTCTCCTGCATCATTGCTACAGTAATTTACCATCCACCAAAGTCGGACGACAGATCATTTCGGGAGCACCTGTTTCAATCCCTTACTCTAATGGAATCAAAATATCCCAACTGTGGTATCCTGGTAACCGGCGATTTCAATCGTTTGGATATCGGTTGCCTGTTGAAGCACTTTCGCCTCAAACAAATCGTGAAAGAGCATACCCGGAAGGACGCTACCCTTGATCTTATACTGACAAATATGCATGATCACTACTCCCCCCCACAACCTTTCGCGCCACTTGGGTTGTCCGATCATAATGTCGTGGTGGCGACTCCACTGCACGGGAAACGCATCAACAACACCAAGAAAACCATTACCAAGCGAGACCTACGGGCCAGCTCTAAAGCATCAATGGGGAGATTTCTGAACGGCATCGATTGATCCATATTGTTTTCTCCACTCGAGGGGTGCAAGGAAATGTGGAACGTTTTTTCCAAGGCAGTGCGCACTGGTCTTGACATCTTAATGCCAGAGAAACAATTTCGTATTTGTACAGCCGACGCCCCGTGTATGACTCAGAGAGTGAGAGCCCTTATCCTGAAGAGACAAAAGGCCTTTACTATGCATGGCCCCGAGTCCTCTCAATTCAAGGACCTTAGAAACCTCGTTAACCGGGAGAGGAAAGCGTGTCCAGAAGGTCTTGGCGAATCTCAATCAAAGCAAAGCGTCCGGGCCAGATAACGTGCTGAATTGGCTTTTGAAGGAGTATTCGGACTCCTGACCTTCCCAATCACACAAATCCTCAATGCATCATACCGTGAGCAGCGGTTGCCCACCATCTGGAAGATGGCCGATGCTTCTCCTCTTCCTAAGAAGAAGCCCGTGCTACACCTGAAAAAGGACTTAAGGCCGATCTCACTTACACCTTGTGTCTCTAAGCTAGCAGAGGAATTCATGGTGGAATATGTCGTTAAACCAGCTGTTCTGGACGTGATTCGTGGAAACCAGTACGGGGCGATCCCAAAGTCATCAACCACCATGGCCATGATAAGCATGCTCCATGCGTGGTCCCTTGGGACGGACGGAAATGGGGCGACAGTGAGAACAATGTTATTTGACTATCGTAAGGCATTCGATTTTATAGACCACAGTATTTTAATTGATAAGCTATGTAAACTAGACATACTCCGCAGTGTTGTAAATTGGATCATAGATTTCCTTTCCGATATATAGATTCCAACGCATTAAGTTAGCCGAGGGCTACTTTTCCGAGTGGGGTCCAGTTCCCTCTGGGGTACCACAGGGTACTAAACTGGGCCCGTGGTTATTTGTCTCGATGATCAACGATTTAGATATCAAATCACCACTTATGTGGATATTTGTTGACGACACAACCGCCTCTGAGGTAATTCAAAAGGGAAATACCAGTAACGCCCAGGGTATAACCGACGAATTAATCGAATGGTCCCGTAAGAACAGGGTAGTGCTAAATCCAGATAAATGCAAAGAGTTGAGAATCTCATTTTCCCGGAACCCTGAGGCCTTCGACTCGGTGTCCATCGATGATAAGGAAATTGAAGTGGTAAACAGTGCCAAGTTACTAGGTATAACTCTAAGCGACAACTTAACTTGGAACGCCCACATTAACGAGTTAGTAAAGAAAACCAATAAAAAACTATACTTTCTTGTACAGCTGAAACGGGCCCGACTACCTCCTTCAGACCTAGTTCTTTTCTATCTTTCGTGTGTTCCGCAGTACCTTAAGAACGAGCTCATACACATCGAGAAAAGGGCACTATCGATAATTTTGCCCAGCATGAGCTACAACAAAGCCTGTGAAGTTTTGGGAATAACGCCAGTAACCGAACACCATAGTCAGCTAAACTGTTTGACGCCATAGTAGCCGACCCCAACCATAAGCTACATGAATTACTGCCACAAAAAAATAATGTTGTTTATAATTTTCGATACAATCGTCCCTTTGTTTTACTGCGCGTTCACACCAATAGGGCAAATAACACTTTCATACTCGCAATGTCCCAGTTATTCAACGCATCTTCTCATAATGCATAGATTATTTCTTAAATTTTAGTTCAAGGATGAAAAAGTTTTACAAATTTAAACATTTTTACCATTATATTTAACATAGATTTATCATAGACTATTATTGTCCTTTTAAAAGTTGTAAAAGTTACTTAATTCAGCCTTCGGGCTGCGATGTGATTTAAATAAACCATCTATCTATCTCGATTTTTCATAGATGAAACTGTCATCCCCCGCCCAATTATCTTCATCATCTCGCCTTATAAACCCTTGCACCGCTGCGACATATCCATTCTCAGTTCCGCAATCAGCTCTTATAACCCTCGCAGTTCCTCCAAGTTGCTGGACATAGTACTGAGAAATAACGGTAGGATAATTGTTGGTGTATCCAACGTCAAGCCATAAAATTCGCCGATTAAATCCATCGATGGCTCAGTGGATACAAAAACCAAACGGCTTCAATTTATCGTGGCCATTTATGTCCTACAAATGATTAGGCCCGTTTTGTCATATGGCGTCATTAATATATTGATCGTTAAAGTTCTCTTTTGTTATCTTAATTAAGTTCGAGATTTGCATTAAACAATAACCAACACACAACTAAAGAGCTGTTTAGGTATACAGGTGCGCAGAAACTCTTCGAAAGGGAATTGAGACATTGCTCTGAAAGTGAATATTGGAACCACTACCGTAAAAGTATGAATGAGACAGAAAGAAGTGGAAGGAGACGGCTCAATTCTGATTTTTTTCCTTGAGGAAGAAAGTAAATTGATCGTTCTTGGGTTATCATCAGGTAAATGAATTACGCGAGACATAACTCAAGTCTTTGTTTTCAAGAGGAGAAAATATTATCTTCTGAGCAGTTTTAGAACTTTGCTGATTACATTTATAATTACTACCCTCGCCCCATCACTTTAAAGTTTTCCTCTCAAAGTTGTTAGAAGTAGAAGTTACTTTGGATTAATCTTTTACATGGCTAAATATGGTTAGTCTTCGTTATCGTTATGATTTAACATATTGCCTTGTAGACAATAGGCCATTCTACAGTTGTGCACTAAGTTGACAAGCCTTTGATTTGGAGTGAGGCTGAAGGTGACCTTGTGATAGAGACCAGTATCTAGTCAACATGATAACAAAGTAATTTGCTTTTGAAAAGCAGCACGGTTTGCATCATAACAAGATCAACCTTAGCCTCACTCCTGTTCAAAGGCCTGGCAACCAAGCACACAACTGTAAAGTGGAATATTGTCTGCCAATGCCTTAATTCAAAGTGGCTCACGTTATGAATTTTTCATTACAATCGTGATCTTCTATTTCACTCACTGAGGGGAAATTTACCATTACTCGCGAAGGAGTATCACACTTCTGTGCTCTTCCAGCATTCTTGTGAAAAAAGAATGATGACAAGAATTAAATTTGAAACCATTCCTTCAGCCAGCACGTTTAAAACAGTAGAAGCCCTAAGACTGTGCCGGAGTACAGTTAAAGACAATCACATTTGGCTATTGGAAATAGGTACGCCAATGCCAGAAGAATTTCAAGCGATAAATGATCACGATGATCACGTAAAAATCCTGCGCAGTAAACGTGCTCCTGTTACTGTGGAGAAAATTCCAGAGGTATTTATTACGATTTAAATACTGCAGTTTTGCAGTTATGAAAAGATAAATTGCACAATGTCATAATCTATATTGCTAACACACCCAGTTATATGTGAGGTGACTCACAGTCCAATGCGTTGAAATAATGATATGCGAGCTAATCTGTCTCAGTCCTTCGGTCAGTGGAGAGGTGTAAAATAGAATCGAAGGCAAACAAAAAAGAGGTTGCTGTGGTTGACAGAAAACGGCTTCCCTGTTTTTTTATGGCCTAATCCACGCACATTTTTGCACCCCTCTTTTCACTCGTTTCTATTGACCGAGAGCCCAGTTCAGGCTACATCTACTTCCACGAGAATTATTTTTGTTTCACTGTTGACTCGTTGTGTCGCCTCACACTCTTCTTTTCTTGGATGCTGTGTTGTCTCAACTTAGTTAAACTACCTATTGAGTGACAAAACGCGTAATGACAGAGGGCTTTTATCAAGACTTGGATAGAGGATATCAACAGCAAGACAAGTGGTAGACAGTGCTAATGAACAACGTAGCCTTGTTAGCGTCCTGAAAGGAGGGTATTGCTGCGAGTCTATTGAGGTCAGAACTTTTCCGATATAGATAAGTAAGGGAGGGCGTTTAAACGATTTTTCCGCGAAGGAAAAATCATCCATAAACAGACTTATTAAAAATTTGAATCGTCAAAGAACTGTAACGATTGCTGAGACGAATGAAATAGTTGTCAAAATAGACGCAACTTTGCTGATACTCTACTAGGCCAAAAGAAAACAAATTAAACGAACTGCTTTTCTATCCTTCACTGCAACTATCAGCGACCTAGAAACCCTGCCTTCGTTCTCTTACAAGGTATATTAAATATATATATTTAGAGCTAACCTTGCTTCGCGAATAAAATGTGCTGAATATATTGAAGGTAGCTAAATATATAGCTGAATGACAGTCAATATTTGTCTTCACGTGAAAAAAAAAACAAACAAACAAACAAGTCAGATTGTATTTGTAACCTATGCAAAATGGAATTCGCGTCAGGAGAGTGTTATCTCTAATGAGATCGAAATAGGAAAGCAATCTAGAGTCACCAATGATAAAAAATGTTACCGAGGGGGGAAAAAACGGTGTTAAGAAAAACTTCAAAGTAAAATTGTTTAAGAAAAAAAAGGCGCAGCATAACTCCTTCAATGCGCAATAAACGTCTTTTTTACGAAAAACTAAATTACGAGAGAAAAGGTTTCTAAAAGTCGCATTCCAAAAGACAGATTCTTTTGAATAACATAATTTCTTTTATTTAACAACAAAATGTTGTTACTTCCGTGCCATGCTATCACGGTTAGACATTTCTTGCTCATCGGTACGCGAGTTCTCGAACGCAGTGACCCCAGAGCTGGCGACGAAATGGAAAATTCTCTCACGCTCCGCTCGGAAGTTATTGATTAATGACGTCTTAAATGATAGGTTGATGGCGCTGCTGAGGAACCACAGGTAAGTGGCAAAGATGAAAACATAAGATTAAAAACAATGACTTAGTGAAAGATCCAAGGTCTGATTGCTAATTCTCCCTTCTTTCGCCGTAAGTTTACTTTCGTGTGAAGCAGTCTGGATAATCTTACACAACATCAAAATAAAACTGATGTATAAATATGTTTCACGTTAGTTACAGAAGGTAGGAGTTTGAAAAGGCAAGGATAGATGGCCCCAACATTTTGTCGAAGAGTGCTACTCTAGAAAAAAAACATTCGGGAAATTAAATGTTTTTGCGAGGATGGGACTGAGCCATGAAAAACGGTAAAATTAAGCATTAGTGAGTGCTTTTATCATATCAATTCCATGAAACGGAAAATTAATTGATATCGCGTGTAATTACTTCCATTTTGAAATTACAGATGATCCTTAAAATGAGATTGGCTCTCATCAGTGCGATTCATTCACGAATCGTACCTGTCCATTTTTGCGCTCTCGTTCCAATTTGAAATCAAGCATTCGATTTCAGACCAAGGTACGCTCCACTCATTTCAATTATCATAATCGATATTGAAAACGTACTTCATCTTTTTTTAAAGCGAAAATTTAGCGTCGTTAACTAGACGTTCGTTCCACTCGAATCTTCGGCAATTTTTTGATGGAAGCATTGAGAGGAAAAATGAGCCCTAACGACTTACACCAAGCCAGTGGTCATTTGTTAACTTTCACTTTTCACGGTGAATAGCTTTTGCATCTCCTAGCAATGAAACGCATAGCAAAGAAATTTAATTTTTTGGGAGAAATCTTTAGCAGTTTCTTAATTTCTCAAAATACAAAAAAAATAAATAAAAAAAAAATAAAAAATCGAAAAATTGAAATACTTGAGAGAGGGTACAATGCATGCTCAACACTTACAAAAGTCTATAAAAATTATATAAGTTAATAACGTTGTTTCGCCGATTACATGCATTACATCGACGTGAGGTACGTTTTCGATACTTACGTTTTTGATCATGGAAATCTTGCTATCGTGTACAAGGGTCTAATTTTATATTGTGCCTACCGCTGAAAGTATCTTCATAAATACACTGATTCGCTGGTTAACATTAATTTTCAGAAGTCGATTATTTCAATTCATAAACTTTGTGCGTGTAGACAACCAGTTTCTTTGTGAAGATTTTGTCGTACAGGTTTCGTTTCTTGAGAAAAAGATACCGATTTAAAGCTGTCAAAGCCATGAAATAGATGGATATTTGGGCGAAAACTGCCATTGCGAAAGCATGGAATTTGCACACCCGATCGCTGAATCGTCTTTGACTGTTGATCACGGCGTCAACTGTCAAAGGCATAACAGGTATGAGCAAGCCATGCGACAGTCAGCACGGTTATAGACGAAAGACGCTTGAGGTTGCCGGAAGCGATGAAACACAGGATGGCGTTACCAACCAATACAACTTCATTAAAGGTAGTCAAAACAGTGGATTCTACCACCGTAGTTGGTTTGTTTCTGGATTTGAGCTGCTCCTGTAAAATGTCCAATACATCAACGCCGCTTTCCCTAGGGTCAATGTTATTCGTGACTCAAACTCAAGAAGCAAGAAACCTTTCCCTTTGTCGACAACCAACAGCTTATTTTCTTCTATAGAAAATTGAAGGACGTATGCACTTGTTTTACCGCGTTGACGCAAACTCTCTGGTATTTAAGTATTAGTTTACTTGAAAGGGATTAACTGTTCTCAGTTACCACTAATTTACGTGCTTAAAGAGCAGATAATATTTTTTGTCGATGAAAGTCGCAGTTACAATTATTTTCTGCTACAAAATGAAAGACGTATGCAACACTTGATCTTCCACTGACGCTCACATTCCGGTATTTAAGTAATATTTACTTGGATGGGATTATCTCTCTCAGTTACCGCCAATGGCCGTGCTTTAAGCGCGGTTAACATTCCTTGTCGATGAAAGTCGTTTTTAGAGGTAACCGAGGCAACAAAAGAGACCATTTTCACTTGATGCCTTTCATTCAGAAAATGATGGCTTTGTTAGACTCACCAGAGATTTAGTAAAGGACAGTTTTAGTAAGTTGGTGAGAACGAATAATACTACTCTTAAATGATTAAAGTGAATTAAAGAGGACCACTGGTCAATTGAACTCGTCAATACCAATTTTAAAATTTATTTATGCATCAAAAAAAGAAGCTTTAGTGCTTTTCTCAAAGCAACCAGTGCCCAAGATGCAATCGCTTCAAATGTAACCTAACTAATATAGATTTATCAAAATAGATACAATTTTCGAAAAAAGGAGAAGTGCTGACGCTCAATTTAGGCACCCAGATAAATGCAGTTATGTACATCTACATTTTAGGTGTTATGATGGTTTTCCGATTAATTGAAATAGCCCTTTACGAACTCAAAATGAGGAGCGCTTATATTAAATGATACTTGATTTGGAAAACAATGTGTTTCCAACCGATAAAAGTGACGAAATTAGTGTTCGAGTTGACTTCGATTCCCGAACGTGAGACGAATTAGGGCTGAAAAATGAAAACTGAATTTGCTGACTTAAAGTGGGGCTTCCTAAAAGGACCATCCTTAGCCTTTGACCGGTAAACATTTCGATGGGTTGATATGTCCTAACAGTATTGTTCACCAGAAGATTTTGTTTTAAATCTGACAACCTTCAGAATTTTCAACACAACGCCACGCGTTGAAGTTAATTAAACAACGAGTCAAGCATTGAGAATCTATCGCGCGGGTATCGACACGTAAGATACATCTGAGGCCTCTTCAGCTAGTTACCTGTCGCTGCGCCGCGGGAGGGAAAAGGTTTTTAGGGGGAACACATAGCTTTCAGGGTGAGCGGAGGGAAGTTCAGTCTTCGCGAACAGAGTAAAAAAAAGGGGGACGGGGAGGGGGATGAAAGCTACAAAGAGACAGCCTTTCGGGGGAATCAGATAAATTTATCTTGATTCAATCAAATTCCCCCCTCCACCCACGTCATTCTCTGAAGGTGAAAAAAGATGACCGGTCCGTAATTTCGCATGTGAACCCTAAGTAGATATCAGTATCTTCACAAATATAAGAAACGTGTGTAATCTGTGAACTTATAGAAAATAAGTGGGTGTAGCTCATTAATTAGCAATTATGACGAACATTTTCAGCGCCCTTGATTGAATAACGATGGGTTTTTTTCGAAATTTTCGCATCCAAGTTCTGTGATAAAATAATAATACGGATAATTTTGGGAAATTATTTTAATCCATTTTACAACAAAGCTTATGACGAAATAATGGTCCAGAATAATATTTACTCTCTACTAACTCAAACCCACGAAATTCAATAAATTTAGACAAACTTCTTTTCTCCAGCAATCAAGAACTATATTCTATATTCTCCCACAAAGCCAGAACACTCAGAACTACATACATCTAAAATTTTGCAATAGTACTTTACTATCTATATTTTATCCCAAATTGAGTTACTTAAACAATGAAGAACAAATTTAAGCCACTCCAACGGACAAATGTTATGATATAGCTGTCGCAGTTTGTTGTTCAAGTAGCGAAACAAATACATTACCATAAATACACAACCCTTATTATATGTAATTTAAAATAGAAGCAATAGCTGTTCACAAGGTCTGAGAAACTAGCTTTCTGTCTTCACCTGAATGAAAGAATCATTTATGTTCTAGATTATGCGTATTATTAAACTAGCATGAACTGATCATGGCTGCAAAAGAGAACACCCTCTAAGGTGTTTTTTTGTTTTAAAAATCATGTTTTTATTCTTGCAATACCAAGATAAATTGCATTTGTTTAAAATCCTAAAAGAAATAGATACTTTTTTACATTAGAGTTGGTTACAGTAACAAATCTAGTATTTACTCTAAATGTCACATATCATGTATACTGCTGCGTAAACTTTGTCTCTTAGTTTTTGTTTGTTTGCTTGTTTGTTTTTTCTTTCTAGAGGGCATGAAAACGACATTAACTTGATAATCCATTCTATGCTTAGAAATTTGCCATCAGAAATTATTTGGACTTACCATAAGGGAAAAAAGAAAAGCAAATGAAAAGACAAAGTGAAGGAAAGAGTAAAAATTTAAAAGTAATAAGTAAAAGTAAAAAGTAAGAAAAACACTAAGTATCTTCCTTTGCAACTACCGACATACAAAACAAAAAGGCTAAGGTAACGCTTAAAAATTACCTTTCTATATTTCAGTAGCGCTCGCAATTTTCCTCGATAAGAGATTTAATAATTAGAAACGTTTTTCACTACAAATACAATTTGAACTTTAGGGAAAATTTAACTACTCCTGTAATTTCTGTCAAGGCTAATATTTTTTTGTTTATTTCAAGCAATATCACGTATACATGAATAGATACGTCGTTATTATTATTATTATTGATAGCATTAACCAACTCGCTGTACAATTGCGGGGGAAACATACATTCACTTACAAACACTGTAATCTCACCCCAAAACTACATCACAGCTATTATTTCACCATTCAAATAAACTGATCTGAGTTGTTTTTTTTTGTTTTTGTTTTTTTCGCAAGTGAAACTACCTTTTTAGTCATAATGGAATTATTTCAGTAGAGGTTATGGGGCAAGTAGAATTTTCAATCATCATGAAATGAATATTCCAGGAAACAATATTATTGATTAACATCACTTCCACTGCATTGAGCAATGTCAAACGTTTGGCTAAAACTTCGAAACCCTTTATCCTGAACGTGAAGGCTATCTTACATAGATCGGTTGGTTTAAGATCTGCGAATAGATTTCAAAACGAAAAAAATCACGGCGATTCCTGCGATATAATACAATGTAGTGAGTTGTGTCTGCAAGGCTTGGTCTTTACCATCCATTTGTCCCTTCATGTCTCCAAAAGACCTAAATCCTATAACTGAAATAATGACAGAAATAATGAAGAAAGAGATCAATGTATACTTAAACCATTTTCCTTTCTCTTCCATTTCTCTCTTCAAGGCTTTTTCTTTCTCGTCCACTTGTTTCTTCAAGCCTTTTTCTTTCTCGTCCATTTGTTTCTTCAAGGCTTTTTCTTTCTCGTCCATTTGTTTCTTCAAGGCTTTTTCTTTCTCGTCCATTTGTTTCTTCAAGGCACATTCTTTCTCATTCCTTTGCTGAATTTCTGCTTCATGAGCCTCTTGGTTCGCTTTCCCTTCCTCTCGAAGAGTAGCAATCTGGTCTCGAAGCTTGCGTATTTCCTGTTTTAAAGTGAATTTTGAATCTATTTATTTCATTTCTGCACTTTTACACTGACAATAATTGTACCAACATCAAAGTTCTTGTTTTAGTTTTAATGATCGAAGATTCGCTTTTTGATGAGGGAATATCAAGTACTTTCTTGGCTATTTCCATGTGGGGCATGAAAGTAATTGGGTAACTGCTTTTATCAACAGTTTTAATCCACTCCAAGATCAGTACAGAAACACAAAAATTGATTATCGAAAAACGTCACTGTTCGAGAAAAATTTCATTATAGCAGTTAAGGAAAAAGTAACTACAGCTTCATGTTCAACCTCCTAAGTTTAGCGTGCAAACTACACAATAATCTTTTAAGTCTAACCAATTTTTCGTTTAAAAAAAAGATTCGAAATAAAGTACTCAGCACGGCCAATACAAAAATGGCAAATGAAACTTAAAGTGACGGCTAATACTAGCATAATCCTAGAATTCAATCACAATGGTTATCTTTTAAAACCTTGATTCATCAGGAACAAAAACATTTCATAACACTCCTTTCTCTGATCTGTTAGTTGCCTCTTAACATTGTCATTTAATTCCATATCAATGGCCATCTGTTCTGTAACGTTCTTACTCACGTTCAAAAGTAAGTTGACATGTTCCTTGTGAGACGGGGGGTGAACTTCCTGGTTTTCTGGTGGAACCTACAATATAGCATTCAATCTCTATCACTCTTTGCTCGAGTTCAAGATACAAACAAAACTTACAATTCTTAAAAATGCGAGTTCAATTGTTCCTTTTTTGATCAAGGCGAATCTTGAAGTTAATGAAAATTTTGTATAATTTAATAAAAGTTCGAGGGAATTGCCATAAATTACCTCCTTAGTCCCTTCACCCCTGTGCATTTAGTGCATGGGTCAAATAAGACGGCAAGGTGACTAAAAAAAATGGATTTATGGCGAAGAAAGTTTTGTACTAACTGTTGGTTTAGAGTCTGCTTCTCCCAATTAATATATCATCATTATTTAAAATATTGTGGTGGCAGAAACCGAAATTCTCTAAAGCAGGAGTCATGAGAAGCCTTAGATAATTGCAAGTGTTTGTAAACATGCGAGGTTTGTCATTAGGATTTCTGTTACTTTGCTTATTTTCCGACTGTTAATAGCATTATTTGCAAAACAAACAAAAAAAAGGGAGCATCATCTCAATAAGAATCTTATGTTAGGTTATGTTCTCTAACTTCCAACCATCTCCCGGGAAACTATGGCGTTACATTCCTCACAAGTAAAAGTTGGTAGATTAACATTTTTAGCATGTGCATTTACATATAACAAGTACCTACAGCATGTGACATTTGTTAGCTCGGAACCTACTTTGATTTGCGTAATAACCTATACTTCTGTAACAGTACTATTCAAACGTTTGACCCAATTGACAAACATTATGATCTGATGTTAATTTCATATTCACATTTATATATCCCATATTATTCAACTATACTCCAATTTATAGTTGCGTCTTAATATAAAGTTTTAACTATAATAGTTCAACGGTCTATTTTAAAGTTACGTGCTTAGTTGCAAAGCCTTCGAACAGGAGTGAGGCTAAGGACGACCTTGTTATGATGCAAACCTTGCTGCTTTTCAAATGTAAATTGCATTGTTCTCTTGCTGACTAGATATTGGTCTCTATCACAACCAGGTCACCTTCATCCTCGCTCCAAATAAAAGGCTTGGTCATGGTTCAACAGACTCGGAAAATAGTATGAATGACCCCCGAAACAAAAGGACGTTCAAAATATCCAGTTTTGAAGGATTTCCGGTCATAGGACGTCGAAAGGCACCACGCTAAGGCCACGGTTATATGCACAGCAATTATCAAACTTTACAAGAAATAGCGTTTTTGATGTGAAATATACATGCATAGTTCAGCACCTATTTGATAAGAAAATAATATATATATACTTTAAGAGGAAAAAAGGACGCAACTACATTTTCTCGACAAAGCATCCTCCATACCAAAGAGCACTCGATGAATGCGGATACCGGTACACTCTACAGTACGAACCACCCACAACTAACAAACGAAAAAACAGACAACGGAACAACATACTCTGGTACAACCCCCCATTCAGCAAAAACGTCAGCACTAACATCGGACGTAGATTCCTTGCCCTAGTAGACAAGGACTTCCCGAAAGACCACAAATTAAGAAAATTCTTTAATCGTAATATAATCAAGATCAGTTACAGCTGCATGAATAACGCTAAATAGATCATCGACAACCACAACAAATTCATTTTAAATTCATCCAAACACATCAATGGCACCGCAGATAACACCAACACAGAAGACACCAAAACTTGCAACTGCCGACAGAACACATGCCCACTTAACAGAAACTGCCTCCAATCATCACTAATTAATCTACCAAGCCACCGTCACACGTAAGGACAACAGCACCATTGAAACATACATCGGACTTACAGAAAACGACTCCGAGACTAGATACAGAAACCACACCGCATCATTCCGACACGGAAAACACAGAAACTCTACCGAACTTAGAAAATATATCTGAGTCCTTAAAGAAAATAAGATCAACCATTATATATATATATATATATATATATATATATATATATATATATATATATATAATATATATATATATTTATATATATATATATAAATATTATGAGAGAAAAAAAGGAAAAATCGACTTGCAGACTTCATATATATATATATATATATATATATATATATATATATATATATATATATAAGTGAAAGAATCAAAGAGGACGCATCGATTCTCTGTTACTCTGAGTTTCGCGCCTAAGCGCTCGTCAGACAGAACTCAGCTCTGCTACCACAGCATTGGGCACTTTATGCCAAGGTAGACTCTACCCCCACATTTATATATATAGATATATATTTATTTATATATTTATCTATCTATTTATTTATTTGTTTATTTATACGTGCAAATCACATAAGGAGAAAAGACTAATTCTAATCTGTTACTGATTTAATACGATGTTTCAGTCTTCGGCCTTCCTCAGGTATGTAGAGCTTAAAAATTAATAAGCTAAAAATCTTAAAAACAAAGATTATTTTCCGTCGTGTCTACACCAATCATTGATCCTTAAATAAAAGAAAAATGTGTAAATACCTTATCTCGATTCATGGCTTCTCGGTCTACGGGGCAAAAGTCATTCTGACCTTTAGGTTCTTCCCTGTGAAAATGATAAACCGATTTAAACAACAAAAACCATCTACAATGTTAGTCTGTCATTGCACACCTTTTCTATAACAATTCAGAAGCTAGAGGAGAAATTTTATTATGATTTAGTCACAATATACTCACAAGCTAAAATCTTACCATCGAAATCAAAACGAGTCAAACGGCGGAAACAATTATAGCGAAGCAAAAAATAAGTTAAGCGAACAAAGCAAAGCAAGGCCGTAAAAACCAATAGGGACTTAAAAACACAGAAATAAACCTGAACTCAACTTAGAGAGAAGCAAACGAGACCTGAACTGACGCAGAACTAAACGAGAACTGAAGATAAATATTTAAACAAAATGCCGAAACTAACATATCAAATAAAAGCAAACATTAAAAAAGAACAAATTGAACAAAAGCTACGAAGACGCGATAGCTGAACTAAGCAAGAAGCGAAAAACACATAGAAAGGCGATTAATCCTGGTGCCTACAATAACAATTCATATCATCAAAGGGCGGGGGCAGATTAGTAAAAATGGTATCCAGTCAATTCACCTTTTACGCTTTAGACTTCACGCGTGGTGCCACGTGACTTTTGTGGTAACTAAACCGCGAAAATTCTAGCCTACGTGTAGTCGTACTCTTCCCCCATTCAGGTGAAACGGAGAAGGGACAACGTCAACGCAAACCTGACACTTATCATGTTCCGTGACGTCACTCTTTTGTAAGAAAATATATAATGACTTATTTTAGATATATGAAATTCGTATATATGTACTGCGGTGAAGAGATGAAATTAAGAGATCCTCGCAGCTAAGAACACTACTGAAAGGAGTAGTTGACTGCTCAACTACTCGTTTCAGTAGTGTTCTTTTTTCCTTCGACAGTTCGATTGTCCACCCTCAACTTTCGGTCTCTTTGCGAACGTGCTGCGAAGCTCAACTAAAGCTTGTTGTTTCTTACAGCGATTCTTTCGACTGAGAAAAGAGTCGCTCTTTCTTCGCGCTTGCAGCGTAACTATCTCTTAGAGAAATCTGTAAAAACCTTGATATTCTGCGGCAAAAGATCCAAATTTTTTCGACGACAGTAGCACTGTTTACAAATGCAAGCAGAAACCGCGTGAACGTTGAAATCTAGTAAGCGCGATGCTAATCGAACATCGTCATCTTCTTACTCTATATCAAAAATTGCTGATAATCTTTTGCTATAGTAGTAATAGATTGCGACAAAAAGAGCGTAACAATAGCCGATTTGACTGCACTGGCGACGGAAATACAACGACGGAAGGAAGCAATAAACAGAACTTCCACGCTATCAACGCTTTGCGATGATGATCTGAAAAAGGTTTCAGATTACTGTAAAACTTGCATGAGTTTGTTACTGAAAATGGGGAACTCTAGGAATCTACAATCAGAATTACTAAGAACACCATCCGTGATCCATCATGGCTCAGTAGTTAATTTTTTTGCGTTCGATTGCATTACCTTGGTAAATGCTCCTCGATACATCCTCGGCAAAAATGGTGGCCATTACTAGTAATCATCGTCTCTTTCATCGGCAACTGACATATTCCACATTGCAAACCTTTATTTACTGGCTCAACGAATTCATCGTCACGACCAGAGGGTAAGCAGGGCTCTGAGGGAACTTCCGCCATTATCACCAGCTGAAATAAGGAGTGTTTCAAATAGATTATTGAAATATTACACGCGCTCTCATTGGCCAGAGAAATATTTTATAAAAACGTCGAGCGTTTGCATAGATTTCTCAAATTCTAGCAACTCCCCTTCGTGTTTCAAAGAAATCCTGTTTTCACAAGCAAAAATTACTTGAACCGTTTCCAACATTTCAATAAAACCACGTTGTGATTCGCAATTTCTCTTATATCATTTGTTTTTTTTATGATTCTCGAGTAGCTTTATGCTAATTTGATGAGCTACTTTCTAGGAAATGAAAGCAACCCAACTTGTGCGATGGTGAAAAAAATGCTTTTAGCCAATTGATATGGAAACCCATATATGGAATTTCAACTGACATAACTTCTCGAAATCATTGCCTATCGCGGAAAACTAATACGTTGCCGGCAAAGTTTTGCAAAAAATAATTTTTGACATGCGTCAGAGCATCCTTTGTTATTTTTCTTCTCTTTCTCTCACTGCGATGAAGCTGCTGGTAAGCTTCAGCTGCTAATATATTTGTAAAGTAAAATATCAATTATACCTGCTGAATAAGGCCTCAGAAATTGAGATTCGTGCAAGTTTATACTTGATGCTGCTGCCTCTTCCGTTCACCAAACAGGAAAACTAAATTTGAGGAATGGAAATTTTACCGAGTCCTACATCAATCAATAGCCAATTAAACGTTTAAAATTTAATAGATGGGAAATATTTTATAAAAGCGTCTAGCGTTTCCATAACTTTACAAATTTTCAAAACTCCCCTTCGTGTGTAAAAGAAACCCTCTTTTACAAGCAAAACTATTTGAATCGTTTCCAACATTTAGTAAGAAAACGTTGTAATTCGCAGTTTCTCGGTTCAGAGGTTTATTTATTTATTTTTTAAACAGATTCTCAGGTAGCTTTATGCTAATTTGATAGGGTGCTTTCTTGGAAATGAAAGTTCTTGGTAAGCTTCAGCTGCTGAATATATTTGTAAAGTTAAATATCAATTATACCTGGTGATAAGGCCTTACAAATTGAGATTAATGCAAGTTTATACTTGGTGCAGCATGCCTGTTTCGTTCACCAAACAGGAAAAATAAATTTGAAGAATGGAAATTTTACAGATTCATAAATTTTACTAAAGAACAGAAGGCGTGAAGATGTTTTGTCTTTAAGCATCATGAGTCTCGTTTATTTAACTGCCAGGGTCTTGTTTGTATAAATTAAAGTTTAAGGTTAGCTTCCCCCGAAGTTTTTCTTGAAAATTGATATTTTTTTCTACCTCAGCTTGGCCCTCGATGAAAGTGAAATTCCGATTGAACTACCGTTTTGTATTATGTTAGTTTCATTTATGCTGTGTTTAATATCGGGTATATGCTCCGGGAGTTTGAATGTCTTAACGTCTGGGATGGATATGATCATTAAAGGTCAGCGCTAGTTGTAAAACTGTACATGTTTGTAACTAAACCGAATTGTGTGGTGAATTTACGTTTTCAGTAATTAACAAATGAGAAGCCTAGTTCTGCTGTGAGACCAGTCCTTTTCTAGCATCTAAATGTGTTTTGATTTGCCAAGATGTGATGATTGATTCATTCTTTACGCCTCTTACACTCCTCTAGGACATATAAAATAAACCGAGCTGCGATCGGTTAAGTCAACGGCGCTTTACCAGGGTGGAGATGTAATCCATGAACTAGTAACCCTCATCTTTCACGATCGATTACACCATTGTGAAATATTCCTCGACCGTTTCTTGATATCTTTTGTTTTTAACAAAGCGGCCACAATCGTTCTAAATAGAATTTCAAGCCTTCTTATTGTCTGATTTTCACAGATTAATATTTGCGTAGTCACCAAACAGATGAGAGATAAAAACACCAGAAAAGTAAACAAATGGCCAGTCACAAACGCAATGCTTCACTTTTACCTATGAAAATCGGCCGGTTCTTCATGTAAGCCAATATCAATGTCAGGCACATATGTGAAAATCAGTGTGTTTTGGTCTTGGTTCGCGTGTTAAATATTCAATACTAGCGCGCGCAATTCACGATACATTATATAAAAGAAATAAAAACACTTGTTCCTCGAGCGATGTTAAGTTATACTGTTAAAAATTCCCGCGTGCTTGTCAACAAAATGAACACATATCGATTAAAAAGAAACGTACAGACCACGTGTAATGCTGTCAATTGTTTCTCGAATTTTGCGCCTGTTGAATATTCAATAATGACATCTCATTTGGATCTACATCTACTTTTATTAAGTTGGTAAATACTGTACAGATATTCGATTCAAGTTGCATTTTTAGAAGTTAAGGTTGTTATTTTCATACAAACATTTTGTTTCTTTCCACGTGAGTTTCTAAGCTTCATCGAAATTAATTTTGACTTTCACTAAGTGGGGAGGGGTAAACCATTAAACCCCTGAAGAGTGAAGCGATTCACGAAACAGGCTTGTCGGGAAATGTAGTTGCGTCCTTTTTTCCTCTCATAATATTTATATATATATATATAGGAAGTCTGCAAGTCGATTTTCGCGTGGAACAGTGCTCAATACGTTGAAGCAGAGCGGAATGAATATTATGAGAGGAAAAAAGGACGCAACTACATTTCTCGACAAGCCTGTTTTGTGAATCGCTACACTCTTCAGGGGTTTAATTATTAAACATTTAATCATTTAATTATTTAATTTATTTATTTAATTATTTAAACATTTAATTATTAAACATTTAATCATTAAACCCCTGAAGAGCGTAGCGATTCACGAAACAGGCTTGTCGGGAAATGTAGTTGCGTCCTTTTTTCCTCTCATAATATATATATATATATATATATATATATATATATATATATAATAAGTGCTATATAATACAAGTGAAAGAATCAAAGAGAACGCATCGATTCTCTGTTACTGAGTTTCGCGCCTAAGCGTTCGTCAGACAGAACTTTCTGTCTGACTATATATACACACACACACACACACACACACACACACACACACACACACACGCACACACACACACCGTTTTCAAAAACGTTGCAATTTGGAAATTTTGGAAATATACATGAAGCATACATACCTTTTGTTTTTTTTGTCTTATGTTATTATCTCAAAGTTACCTCTCATATTATTATCTCAAAGTTACCTCTCATATTATTATCTCAAAGTTACTTCTCATACTATTATCTCAGTTACCTCTCATATTATTATCTCAAAGTTACCATTCATATTATTATCTCAAAGTTACTCATATTATGATTAGGCGAGTCATATTATCCTCTCATACAGAGCTTGCGTAACCTGTGGCAAATTCATAGTGTAATGTTTTTGTACAAATATTTCGCTGGTGATTTGAATAGGCTACTAGGTTCAGAATGTTCGTAACACTAGCCTTCTTGCCAGTTTTCGGTAGTCTTCTCTCTCTCTGATTAACTCCAACAAAAGTTTAAATAATGTTGTTTAAATTTGTCGACTGAAATGGTATCGATCGCGAGTTAAATAGAGAATTTTACATTAGCGCGCGTAGATATAGAATTTCTCTTCGAGTACTTCCGCCCTGCAATGCAATACGCCTTTTATCACGCAGCGCCATCTTGGATCGAAACCATCAAAGTCCACATTCTGCGATAGTTTACCAACTTAAATAGTTCGGCAGGTCGAATTTAACGCTTTTTCCTGAAGTCTATTAGTCTCTAATACAGAATCTGTAATAAATTCATAGTGTAATGTTTTTGTACAAATATTTGGCTGGTGATTTGAATAGGCTACTAGGTTCAGAATGTTCGTAACACTAGCCTTCTTGCCAGTTTTCGGTAGTCTTCTCTCTCTCTGATTAACTCCAACAAAAGTTTAAATAATGTTGTTTAAATTTGTCGACTGAAATGGTATCGATCGCGAGTTAAATAGAGAATTTTACATTAGCGCGCGTAGATATAGAATTTCTCTTCGAGTACTTCCGCCCTGCAATGCAATACACCTTTTATCACGCAGCGCCATCATGGATCGAAACCATCTAAGTCCACATTCTGCGATGGTTTACCAACTTAAATAGTTCGGCAGGTCGAATTTAACGCTTTTGCCTGAAGTCTATTAGTCTCTAATACAGAATCTGTAAATGAAATGTTCGGTGAGCTTCTACCGAATTGTGGCTCATAAAAACACGCAAGTTTTTTTACACATGACAAGTAGAAAACAAACTGTTCAAGGTGATTGTTTCATGAATGAACGACCGTGCGCCGAATTCACCAGAACGTGAAGATCGCTCGGGATTACAGCGCCGTAAAAATTGGCCTTCCACTCAACGCATCGGAAAGGATATCTGAACGAGCTCTTATTTTTTCACTCGAAGGGTGGCCGATGTAGTCCCTGAGGCTTGCTTCAGTGCGATGAACAGAGATCGCTATAATGTGCTAGCCGCGATATGGACCGCAGCATAATCGCAGTCGCTCTGACACCGTAACTGACGATTAGTGTGAATTTTAAGAGTTATGCCAGTTTGGTTATATTTTTCACCAATTCCGTTTTCTCCTCTTTTAATTTTGAACATAAAACTTTATATACTATACCAGTGTTAGCTGTGTTTCATTTTTATCACCATGAGAAAGCTTGTAATCTAACTGAGTGTGAAAACCTTTAAAACTCGGACTGTCCAATTCGTTTTCTCTTTGAGGATTTTGGTCTCTGCTCACGTTATAATAATGTAAATTACTTCGCCTGGCATGTTTACAAACCTTCGTTTGGTTCTTCTTTTGCTGTGTCCCGGCTCGCTTGTTCCGAAATTTCACTTTCGATCAATGAAAAAAAGCTTAAGAGAAGTTCCGGAAAAGCTCGGACGTAGTACATTATGGCAGATGGCGTGACAGCTTCAGCTCAGCTCTGTCTCATACTCTCTTATGTTGAAGTCTACAGTGCTTGTAAATGAAGTCCTCTTTTATTACTACAGGGCCATGTAGTTTCTAAGTTTTAAAGTAATGCAGCAACTGCATGTCTCGTTTGGAAAATCACGCAATGTTGCGTGACGCTGCGACCGATGCTTTTAATTTACAGTATGCTCTGCTGGAGAAATATGGCTTGGACGCAATCGAGGGAGTTTTTTTCGTGGAAAACTGATTTCTAGGTTATTGTTCACATGAAGGACAAATCCATTCATCGGGCTCTTCATCTCTTTTTGCACAACACCTAAAGGAAGAAAGTCGCGGATTAATTTTACTTGGTAATTTCCAACAACTCCACTAGACCTAAAAAAGAGAAAAAACAAACCAAACCAAAAAAACGTCTTACCAGTGAAACCAGTTGCAGTAGCTCTCGCACTGAATCATGTCGAAGTACCTTGACTGTTTGCAGTGATGGTACAACCAATCTTCGAACAGTTTCGACCATAACAAGAAAGAGTAAAATGATTTTATAAAACTTGTTCTAAAATTAATTAAGGCTGTTCATCACATGACGCTGTAATGGAACGAGTATATCTCGTTTGCTATTGTATCACACTACTGTTTTAGACAGGGTATTTATACCACTTAAATTTAAGAAAGAATGAATAGAACATAAACCACATTTTCTGTAAAGTACACGAGCCATCCTAACCTAATTTGCCAACTACTTTCCAGGCATCATCTGTAAAAAACCGCTTCAAATTTGAAAATTTTTAGCTAAAACCGTGGCTCCCAAAAATATTTCTCACCTTACCAAAAAAATTTTCAGAAGAAATTTTCAAATTTGTCACAACTTTGCCTATTCCTGCTCGTAGGTCCAGCCAAGCTCTTATGGTCATTGGCCCCCGCAATAGCCGTCAACAATGGCTTATAAATGTAGGCGTTTGGTGTTGACTTGTAAAACTCCCTGAAGAAGTTTACGACAGTTAAACGAAACGCGTCAGATAATAAAGAAGTTTTACAAATACTGTTCGCACAGCGCTTCTCACTAGTTTATTTATTTTATTTTTTCTTTTAAACTGTTAAAAAAATTATTAAAAAATTATTGAAAAAAAATTAATAACGTTTGAGTCGGAGCTATTCCTGTCAGCGGTGAAATACAGGAATGACTCCAGTCTCTGATCGTCCGCCTGAACTGACTAAATGAGTCTAGTCAGCAGATGACTTTTTCATCGCCGGAGTATCGCTGAACGACCTCGCTGAACAAGAAAGGCTGCCTTCTCTTCGCTACGTTAGTCACCATTTCTTGTTTGACAAATCGGTGTTTTCACTCGCATTGATATTTCATTCTTCCGCTTTGAGACACGCTGTTAACAATACCCACGAGCAAGGAGTTAAGATATAACTTATTAACTTTTGCTATTTTTATCATCCAATCACAGGTCGGAGTCATTCCTGTATTTAGTCGCTTGTGTGGTTTCTCTCATCGCGTTGTCGGGGAGTTACTACATCACGGGCGACGAGCGGGGAAAGAAGAAAAGAGCGAAATACGAGTGGTCAGCGGGTAAACAAATTTAATACTTCATGTAGAGACATATCAGTTGTAGTTGCAGAAAACAATGGTGTTGTAAAGCCGAAATGTTAACAGTATACTTCGCTAAATAAAATTTTAAGCAATTTTTCAAAAGTGTTGATGGCACATATGTCTTTTACTGCCGTAATAAACAATGGAGGCATCAGAAAAGGCATCGGTGGCATCCAGAAAGGCACCAAAAAGAATTATATTTACGTTTTGTAACTTGCTGCGTGACGAAAAAGAGAAAACCAAAACCGTAGTCCCCAATTGAATTCTCCCACCTTACCCCAAAAGATTATCAAATATTTCGCAACTTCACCTGTTCCTATTGGTAGGTCCGGCCGAGCCTTTATGGTCATTGGCCCTCGTATAACCGTTAACTATGGCTTATTAATACAGGTGTTTAGTGTTAAATTGTAAAACTCCCCGAAGAAGTCTACGACAATTAGACGAAACGCGTCGGAGAGTAAAGAGATTTTACAACTGCTGTTCATAGAGTGCTGCTCACCAGTCTAGTTTTAAGGATTTTTTTAAAAATTTGGTGCCGGGACAGAAACACCAACATAACATTTCACCTGCCGTTCGGTTCGAAAGTTAAGTTTTCATACCGAGTTCATTTGTTATATTAAATAGGAAAAAAAAACACTCCAAACGGAAAACAGAATTATTTTAACGTCTGGATCTTTTGAAAAAAGGTCTCCTGAACGAGTGGCCCTGATTATAAATATTTAAGCAAGGTAAACACATTAGCCTTAACTTGGTTGTTTCTCAAAGCTTAGTGTTTTCCTACCTGCCTTTAGAGTCAATATTTACATGGGGGACAGAGACACGAACACAACATTTCACCTGCCGTTCGGTTCGAAAGTTAAGTTTTCATACCGGGTTCATTTGTTAAATTAAATAGGAAAAAAAACCACTTCGAACGGAAAACAGAATTATTTTAACGTCTGGATCTTTTGAAAAAAGGTCTCCTGAACGAGTGGCCCTGATTATAAATATTTAAGCAAAGTAAACAGATTAGCCTCAACTTGACTGTTTCTTGAAGCTCAGAGATTTCCTACATGCCTATTAGAGTCAATATTTACACGGGGGGCAGAGACACCAACACAACATTTCACCTACTGTTCGGTTCGAAAGTTAAGTTTTCATACCGGGTTCATTTGTTAAATTAAATAGGAAAAAAAAAACACTTCGAACGGAAAACAGAATTATTTTAACGTCTGGATCTTTTGGAAAAAGGTCTCCTGAACGAGTGGCCCTGATTATAAATATTTAAGCAAGGTAAACACATTAGCCTTATGAAGGCTATGAAGTATTAAATTTGTTTCCCCGCTGACCACTCGTATTTCTATCTTTTCTTCTTTCCCCGCTCGTCGCCCGTGATGTAGTAACTCCCGCGTTGTCGAAATCTCTTAAATATTACATATTTTGATTCAACTTTCGTCGAGAAATGGCTTGAGAAGGATGGAAAGGTCCCAAAGAAAGTCACAATCCGTGGTTGTAGCAGTTTCTGCGAAGGTTATATCTTTGATATTAAGGTAAGACTCAGTCTTGACGAGTTTTTGTTGATGATGCCTCGAGTTCAGGTAAGGGTGGAAATTGTACTCGAACAGTTGCGTGATTCACGCCATTCATACTATGTTAAGGATCTTATATTGGTTTTATACTTTGTTTATGCTCGGATTTGAAATTCGAAATCTCCGATGACTTACAAAAATGATGAAATGAAGCTCTAGAAACCATGACTCGTAGGCTGTTCACGTTTTCACACCTTCCCTTTCAGGGAAAACACTAGACACAAGCTACCGATCACAAAGGAGAAATGAAAAGCCATAGAGGTTGCAGGTATTTGTCTGACCATGTAGTTTTGTTTGAGCTTAAAGAAGTCTTAAACTTCGCTTTACATACTGTAGTGTCATCATTAAGACACAGAGACTCTCTCTTTCATTGCCAAAGGCTAACTGAACTTTATTAACAAACACGTTACACATATAGAAGTAGAAGACTTTACTGACTTATAGTAATTTTACAGCATGCAGGTATTTCCAGCACAGTAGGATTACTGCGAATAGCACATTTACTGAATTAAGTAAAAAGTGCTCACCTTTGAACCCATACTAAGCTCGTTGTCAATAATCACAAGATAGGTGCATTTGTAATCAATACAGTACACATACTAACGAATAATAAACAGACCAACACCAATGTGTTACACAAATATGTTCCAAATTATTTATTAGGTTGAAATCTCAAGGGCTCCTGAAGTCCAAATATCAAATAGCTCTTGCAACTGTGAGGCAGGAGCAGGACTGTGTAACCATGCAATAGGACTGGTTTATCTCCTTGAGCACCATTGGAAATTGAATTTACGAAGTGTACCACGTGCTATGTCCAAGACAAGTTTGCCACAGACATGGCCAGGATAAATCCTGGAGAAGTTCAGGAGGTGCTGGTACAGCAAATGAAACCACCAGCTAAAGATGGAGAAGTGAAAAAAAAAGAGTATGCAAGGTAGATGGAATACAGTCTACTCTGTACAACCCCATTCCAGAGAAATTTGATGAACTCCAAATTATTCATTCCATGAAAGACATATTTAAACAATTTTAAGATGTGCAAATTAACTCTTTCAACTCAAAAACCACACAGCTATTACTAACAGTTCATGGGACAGATGATGTTGACAGATTGTCAATGGGTAGATTTTTATGGTTATTGTAAATCAGACTTTCATTGTTAAAGATTGAGGTTTGAGGCAGAATTTTGTTCAGAAATGAAGATGAAATTGAATTACTTTTGTATTGACTACCATCCCCTGAAGCTGTTGCAGATAGGGGCATAGCTAGGCTTTTGAAGCACAGTTGTTATTGTTGGGAGTGACTGACAGTTAGGATAGGAATTCTGAGCAAGGACCACTTTTGAGAAAACTGTGAGTGAGCTTAAATTCATAGTCTATAAGGGTCTTTAGGAAATTTCCTTTTTAATATTGATTTTTCCCACCTCTATAAGTGGCCACAGCAACTTTTTGGTCATCCAGTATGGAATCTTCTATTGTTTTCATCATTATTAATTAAAGCAGCCAGTCCAAAGTAACCCAAAGATGTGGTAAGCTGATGATAGGTAAGACTCCAACAATGAAGGTAACAACTGATAAAAGCTAACAAGTTATTTATCATAATGACCTTGTTCCATTCTCATTAGGACAAGTGTGGTAGTTCTACTTTTTTTTTTTTTCTTTTTTTTTTTTCTGGCAATAGCCTTCCCCACCATATGCTAATTTCTGATTAACCACTATCAAGCAGCCAACCTCTACTTAGCTGCTGC